TTAATAATGAAGTTGGACAGGCTTGCAGTTTGAATAAATTGATATTGGTAGGAAGAATTAGCCTTAGCAGCAATCCTTATTTGCCAAGTGAGAGTTTAGAGAAATTAAGTACTATAATTAATTGATAAGACTTGGTTTCCTTGGCGAAAGATTTACTTAACTTAGAGGCACTCTGGCACTGGAAGGGTTAATTCACCCAATGGAGGAGGAGATAGGAGTCTCTTTAACAAACTGCAAATTAGTAGTTGAGAGAAAGGAAGTCCGTTTGTGCAAGCCGAGGTCTGGGAGAGGAGAAGGTAGGAATCCGTTTACAAGCCGAGGTCTGAGAGAGGAGAAGGTAGAAATCCGTTTACAAGCCGAGGTCTGAGAGAGGAGAAGGTAGAAATCCGTTTACAAGCCGAGGTCTGAGAGAGGAGAAGGTAGAATCCGTTTACAAGCCGAGGTTTGAGAAGTGGAGCCGGTAGCATCAAGTAGAACAGCTGATCTCACTGCCGCACCTGAGTGAATAATCCAGCCCTTTGAATCTGGCGCGGTCTTCCTAAGTATCGTGGAAGGACCGCGTCAGAAAAAGGGGCGGGGCTAAGCGCCGTGAACCCGGAAGTGGGTTCCGGCGGCAGCATGAATGCTAGGGTATACCTGACATTATGTCAAATTGTTTAGGAATGGTTTAGCAGAAACTGGAGGTCTTCTTGACTGTATTGCCGCACTTCTTCCTTATGAATGATGTAAAATTTACACTTTCCTACTATTGGTGTCAATTAAGTCCAAATTGAATGGTGGTGATTGGCAGAAAGAAGGTTAACCGAGCACTTTCAGCCAATCAGTGCAATCTAGTTTGGATGAAATTGACCGTAGAGAATTAACACTTCTCTATTATCAGTGTGTCTTAGAAGGGGGTGATCTCCAGGGGCTGGTAAAAGCCCTAATTTTATGTCTGTCCGTAAAAATTTTTAAGAGAGACTGCCAAGAAACTCTAGGTGGTGTATCCTCTGTAGTTGTCTATTAGCTGTTCGATAAAGCTATATACTTAAACTATGTAACACCTACAAGGTATTTTCTAAAGTGAGAATCATTGAGAATTTAAAGCGAATTTCAAACTCTAGACCAAAATAACCGAACCATAAGTATACATGGCTTAAATGTAGATTTTTATTTTCCCCCAGTTCAGCTATTTAAGATTTGAAATGGTCTTTGAACTCCTGACAATTTTTGCTTTAGTAAATTATTCTGAAGATGACAGTGACATGTGTAGCTTTAATGCACCAGTTTGGCTATTCAGAAACGTAATCCATGATTTCTTTTATTGCAGGTTAGACTCCAGGTTCAGGATGTGTCAAAGCCTTTGTATCGTGGGACAATACATTGCTTCCAATCCATTATCAAGCAGGAGTCTGTAAGTTGAATGTCTTAAGGTCTTGCAGTTAGAATAAAGCTATTAGATTCAAACGGTCAGTAAACGTTAGCTATAAAAAGACATGCATAGAAGCATGTTCAGAGATGCATGTAAAACAGTTATTCAGTTTGCCCGTTCTACATTTAAATGCTACAGCAATCTTTGTTTTAGATTAATCATTTTAGAAAGTTACAGAAAAATGCAACCAACCTAAATCAATGCTGTATTCTGATTGCTTCATATTTTCTGTAAACCAGAAGAACTACTCTTGCGTTCTGTCAATCTGAATTGAAATCATGCTGTGTTATTGTAGACCATAAACCAGTTGGTAGTAATACAGTTTGCATATTATACTTTGTGTACACACACTATGCCAAACTTTGCATTTGGATGATCAAACATAATTATAATATCAGGAGCTAATTCCTGGAAATGTGTTATTTACAGTAATTACAAAACCATGTCTGAAATATCTTCATTTCTAATTTTTTTTTCTTTTTTATGACAATATTTGTTTTCTTTCCACAGACTATGGGACTGTACAAAGGAGTGGGGTCACCTATGATGGGACTTACATTCATCAATGCTCTTGTGTTTGGCGTGCAAGGTAACACTTTACGATACCTGGGAAAGGACACTCCATTAAACCAGTTTCTTGCTGGTGCAGCGGCAGGATCTATTCAGTGCGTGATCTGTTGCCCCATGGAATTGGCAAAAACCAGAATGCAACTGCAAGGCACTGGAGAATACAAATCAAAATCCAAAAACTACAAGAATTCGCTGGACTGCCTGGTAAAAATTCACCGTAAGGAGGGATGGCGAGGTATTAACAGAGGGATGGTGACCACCTTCCTCAGGGAGACCCCAAGTTTTGGATTTTATTTCTTAACATATGATTATTTATCAAGATACCTTGGTTGTGAAATCAACGACAGTTTAATTATCCCCAAGTTGCTATTTGCTGGAGGTATGTCCGGGATTGTTTCGTGGCTCTCCACGTACCCTATAGACGTGATAAAATCACGACTTCAAGCGGATGGTATTGGTGGAGTCAACAATTACAACGGGATCATAGACTGTGTTAAAAAGAGCTACAAGGTTGAAGGTTGGAGGGTATTTACAAGAGGCCTGACGTCCACTCTGCTTCGAGCCTTCCCCGTCAATGCTGCTACGTTTGCAACGGTTACTCTCTTTCTTATGTACATGAGAGGGGAGACCAATCTAAATGAATGTGAAGCTGGACCAGCTATCCAACAACCAACCAGCATGTGAATGCCGACAGTATGTCTGAACACAAACCTTCTAGAGATATTTTTATATGCGAGCAGTGTAAATTTTATGTACATAAATTCTATGTATAATCGGTTTATATCCATTCTAATCAGGCTTTCATCTCATTAGTTGCATAATAGACTATGGCCTTATTCTAATCTATGCCCTACAACTGCCCAGTAGTGGGCACACAGACTTGATCCATGAGTTTTGGCTTTGAATACTTGGAGATAATCTTGCCTATGAAATTTGAAAGAGTGTGCAAAAGGTTGGAAAAGAAAATCTGTATAAAATAAGACAGCGGGGAAGGAGACAATTTTTGAACACTTATTTAAATCACTGACTTATGTTTTCAAAAATATATTTAATATTGGTGATAATTCCTACATTTAAAGAGTTTTATGTAATATCACACTGTGATAAAATGACACGTACATGTTTACGTTATGAGCATCATCCTGTGTGAATCTACAATGAGAGACCTTTCATTTTGGGGGTGGGGTGGGGGAAGAAAGAGAACATCTGCAGAAAGACACAAAAAGAAACCAAACAAAGTAAAGATATATTGTGACTGCAGCAGCTATTCTGATTAGAGATTGGTTAGTTACTACAGCCTGTTTTCGAATCAACACATTGTGCATATATATACCCAGGCTTTTTGAAGTGTGCTCACTTAAAGTAGATCGGTCTATTTTTATACATTACTGTTACTTTAATATCTGACCAGTTAACTATACAAGTGATTATTTTTTTTTCATCCTGTAAAATATATTGGCGTTGTAGGCCAAATGTACTGTACAAATTAAATATATATAATTTAAATAGGTGTTCATAGCAAGAGGGGAAAAATATTAATGAAAAGGGTTTAACTATATAAAAAAAAACAAAAAAAAAAAAACTTGTGTATGCGACACACTGGAAATGACGTTATAACAAAGTGCTGGAGAAAATGTGTTCGTTTGTTCGAAGCTGGTTTGTGAATGGAACTGTATAATGCTAGTTTTGTATGTCAACCAACCGCGAAGCATAGATATAATGGAAAGAGATATCCGAGCTACAATTTTGTCATTGACACTAGTGATGAGGGTTGTAAAAGAGAACCACATTTTAGTTTAGGTTTTTGGGTGAAGTTTTAAATGTAGTGCTAGAAGCATTCAGTTTAGGCGGTTGAAGCGACACTCAAGACGCCATAACCACTACAGTATGCTGTTTTGGTTCCTAGAGTGTCCCTTTTAATGTCAATAGTAGATAGGTAAGAATTACATTTAGATAAGATACATATATTACATATCACATAAGAGATATTAGGATTACAAACCTTGGCTTATAAATCCCATCAGTTGTTACAATGCCAGAATGTCCTAACCCTCAGCTACAAACTTTATATAGTGTTTAAAAAAAAAAATGCCATTGACCGTATTTAGCATGGTGTACATGACAAAGGTCATTAGTCTGCATCCATTTAACTATAATGAAGTGACAGTATTTAAGTTTAGTTCAGTAACATCCAAATACTGGCTTTTAGTATTGTATACATATAGCATTAACATGAACTTGCCAAGCCCACAATACACTGGACTATTTATAAGTGTTCTAATGTGCGATCTATTGTATTTAGCTGCTAAAATGGTACATGTTACATTACAATTTCTGTATTGCCTGAAATCGATGCTTCTGATCTATTTTCCATTCCTTTATGATTGTGTATAGCTATAAACATGTGTACACACAATGACAATTATATTGGCTCATTCGTAGAACATTCACTAGACAAGAATATTTTTATTTTAATAGGTCACATTACCGAGCTTTCCAGTAAACTACACTATTTTATGATGACATATTTGAGATATAGTTGAATACTATCTTCAAATATTTTTTATATACTTTGTTTTGTTTTACATTTTGTACCATCCAGAGCAAATGGAACTTATAAGGGATTTATTTACTGAAAAGGGGAATTATGAATTAAAACCTAAATAAAGACACATGAATGTTTAATAGTAATGGTGTCAAACTATGCTCATTACAGTTTTTGCCTGATACTTGCTGCAAAAACACTGAACTACTTTGTAAAGCAGAAATTTTATAAATGTAAGAATCTAAACAAATCATGGTTTAAAGCTTTTTTTATTTTTTTATTAAATAGAACTTTAGTTAAGTTAAAGGAATTGTCTAAAACAGGGGGTTCCCAATCCAGTCCTCGAGTACCCCCTACCAGTCCATGATTTATGGATTACCTTGTTGTGTCTAGAGTGTTTATTTTTATCCTGGATTGGTAGGGGGTAATTGAGGACTTTGTTGATGGACCATCGATAAAACTTTAGCTCATGATCCTGATTTTCAGACTAAAGCTGCTCCTGAACTGCATGCCTGACATCATCAGAAGTGATTAGGTGAGCTAATCACAATCATTAAGGAGGAAGATCAGGGGCAGAGCCAACACAAATTAAACACAGCCCTGGCTAATCAGAATCACCTCAGATTAATTGAAACAATAGAGGGTGGAGAGCCTGAAGAGCAGTACTGCAGTGTGCAGCACTGCCCCAGGAAGCACCTCGAGTGACCAGTGGAGTTTTCACTTGGCTGTAATGTAAACACTGCCTTTTCTCTAAAAAGGCAGTGTTTACTGAAAAAGCCCGAAGGGAATGATTATACTCACCAGAACAAATGCAATAAGCTGTAGTTGTTCTGGTGATTATAGTGTCCCTTTAATAAATTAAACTATTAAGCTATTGTGATTGCTTCTGTTGTAAATGATGGTAAACAATATAACATTTCCTAGGCATCACAAAAGAAAAGGGTAAAAGTCACTTGCAGCCAAGAGCACCTAGGAACAAAAGTGCTTCCTTTTGATGTCACAAGTTCAGTCTGTGAAGTATGGGAATAGGAGTACACATTAATGCATTCCTTCAGATGCCTGGATGAAGATGTGGGGCTGAAAGAACCCTTCCCAGTGGCTATGGCATGAAGATTGGTTAAGCATGTTGGGTTGGCAATATAAAGTCCCAGGGACTGACTTATTTTGGTAAGATTTCTATATAGTTATCAGGAAGTAAAGTAAATGAGAAATTTTTAAAATGTACCGCTCTATAAAAGTAAACTTTTAATGCCAACGAGTCCATTAATAAATAAATTCAAACAAATGGAGCATTGGCCACAAATTCATAGGCTGGAGTTCATTCACTAAACCCTGCAGTGTAGCAAATTGAAATCCAAAACGCAAAATATAGGCTAAACCAATCTACCTCCGACTATTGTGGAGTTTGCAAAATAGAAGGTTTGGTGAATTTCTCCAAGTCTGCCAGATGTAGGGTAAAAAAATTGAGTATTGCAATTTGGCTTTCTCAGCATATTCAGAATGCCACGCGTGCAAATATATGTAAAATATATGCCCATATTTCTGCAGTTTCTTTTGGCAACAGTATGCCATTTTAGTACTGTTTGAAGGCCAGCTGGTCAAGTGTACATATGTATTGTCACGTTTGAAACCTTGTTTTGCTTTCTTGAAATGTATATAACATCATTCAACACATATGTACACAGTGCTGAAAATGTAAAATCCTATACTACTGGACATGATTAATGATTACTGCAAGTCTGGAGGGTCACTGGCATACTCACTAGTGCTAGAGTTACACGTGCCAAGAGCTAGAAGAAATTTTGAGATTGGTATAAGTTTTGTGTATGTATGTGTAATATATATATATAAAAATAGATAAGCAAGGCACTCCTCCTTTACCTTTTCACAAATTTTCAACTGCCCAGGTGCAATCCCGCGTTTAAAATACATCAAATAGTAGAAGGAGCACTCTGGGGCTTCTTTTCAGTGGAAAAATATATTTAATGTATCATCAAATAATACATCTTCTGTGCAAAGTATAGAAAATCAACGTTTCGACCCTCCTGGGGTCTTTGTCAAGATCACAGTGAAACATGCTAACAATAGGCAATATATACTAAGTAAAATCAAGCTTACCAATTAGGTGATCAAACAACCGGCGGGCCGAGAAACCCGGAAGTGAGGAGCACCACGTGGGACCGTGCGTGCCGCGTGAGTAACTGTGCATCTGACCAGGTTGCTAAGCAACCTCCCCAACCAATACACCTACTCCAGTAGTGTATCCAAACAACGATCGGGTAAGGCAAACCCGGAAGTGTGAAGCCCACGTGGGAACCTACATAGAAGTGAATGTGACCGGGTTGCTAAGCAACCATACAAACACTGCCTCTGCTCCAATTAAAAATAAAAACGGAGAAAGAGGCTACATATGGAGAAAAAGATATTAGTTATATGCATCCCAAGGCAAGATCGATCTGTATAGTGACCCCACTGTGCATATAGTGAGCAACATATGTTAATATATTAAAAAAAAAAAATAAACAAAATCAGATCAGAAAAATCAGCCGGGTTGCAACAAACCATGTTACATATATAACTATAACCTATAAAGAGTTGTCTATTAACACACACTTGAGCCAGATCTATGACTCAGTGTTACAATCTAACTCATTTATATTTTCTAATTTATTATTTTGTAAGTTCTAATTTCAAGAAGAAGCATCAGGTGATTAATTATTAATGGTGACAAGAAATCAGAAGACCCCTTTATCCAAAATAGATTTACATTGAGCAAATAGGACAAGACAAATTTTACACCATGCTCATAAAATTAATCTAATAATAATCCAACCTATTATCCTTATATCAGATTATTACTAAATTGCAAACCATACCTCTCAGAGACTGACAACTAAATCGTAGCCTCTCATCTGATAAGAAGATAAAAGTGAGGTAAAGAGTCAGCTCTCCTAACTATAAAAATTTACAAAAACATTGAGAGGACCAGATTTTCATTAAGTCCCTTTGGGGTTACTGTATTTAAATGATGAATCCAATAAGCTTCACGTTGGAGTAGTAATTTCGATCTGTCCCCTCCTCGCGGTGGAACCGGAACATGGTCAATGGCTATAAAGCGAAGAGTAGGTAAATGATGTTGCGCTATTAAAAAATACTTAGCCACCGGCTTGTCTGTTCTATGATCTTTGAAGGCTGTTGTAATTCCTGAGCGGTGTCCTCTAATCCAATCTCTTAAAGTCATATCGGTCTTACCGACATAAGCTAGTCCACAGGGACATGTAATCATGTATACCACGTGTAGTCATACATGAAATATAGTGATTAATAGAAATTCTCTTCCCATTATGTGGATGGACAAATGTTGCTCCGGTCTGCATATGGCTGCAGGTGACGCAGCCACTGCATCTGTAGCAGCCCTTTTTTGGAATTTTAGATGTCTTTGCATAACACTGTCGAGGATCATTCTTTACCAATAGGTCCCTCAAATTACGGTTACGTCTGTAACTAATGACAGGATTGATTTTAAACTTCACGGGAAGATTTTGGTCTACCTGAAACATATTCCAATGTTTGTAAATACTTTTTCTTACAAATGGAGTTACATTAAATATATTTTTCCACTGAAAAGAAGCCCCAGAGTGCTCCTTCTACTATTTGATGTGCACACACACAGTCTGCAATGGAATGTACAATATATGGATTTAAAATCTGTAAATAACACTTCCTTCATTCAGATTTATATGTATTGCTGTGGTATTTCTCCACAATGGAAGTGCTACTGTATATTTGGGTGAATAAGCATACAGTATATACTGGCTACATTGATGGCATCATCACTATGGGTATGTCCCTGCTCCCAACATCTATTGGACTGGCTGCTTGCCAAATGGAAAGGTTCTAGTTAATTTTCACATCCAATAGTTGTTGGGGAGCGGGAACATACCCATATTGATGCTGCCATGGACTATGACCAGGAAAAGGAAAACTATGGTAAATATGGAAAAAATTATTAGAACAGTCAGTTGGTGACTATATACTACTACTGTATATTAGAGTCTAAATAAAAGTTTTTATGACCTCAAATATCTGCTCCCCCCAACATATTGCATCATTTAACTTATTTGTAAAATAATGTTCACCATAGTGCAAAGAGCCCACAAATTAATAGAATTTCGATTTAAAAAAAAAAATTACAAATAGTTCCCTTTAGGGATGGTATCTTGTAGCTGTAAACAGTTTGACCCCTGAAGGGATGATGGCACCCAGACACCCCATAACTTAAATGTGCACTGCTAATTTACTCTCCAGTAGTGGACACCACTGTTGACTATGGAATCCTACTTACACAGCATCTATAAAATAAAAGCCTGCAAATTATGAGTGCTTAATAGAATTTTTATAACGAAAACTCCAAAAACCATTACAAAAAACAACAAACTCTACAAAACTGCATTTCTAACACTATAGCGTCTGCCCATTCCAACCTCTTCAGCACCGAGGTCCCGCTGCGCTGGATTGGTCTCCTCATTCCACAACCTCATGCCAATGAAGGAGACTAATGCGCTTGTGCTGCACACATTAAAGCTTGCCTTATAGGAATGTACCGAATCAATGATTTCCTATGGTGAGTTTAAAGATGCTGGACATCCTTATGCAAAGCGTGAGGATGCCCAAAGTAGTTTTGAGAAGTTAAGCTAAGAGATAATGCAGGACGTGGCTTTCTGGAAGACTACACTAGATGTTGTCTTAACGCTGCAAGCAAACATGGCTGTTTCTCTGTTCCTACAATGTTTTACATTGCAGAGTTATGGGGACAGGAACACTGAAGCAGCCTGGGTTTCCTATAGTGTCACTTAATATCTTGTCTGAGACAAAGGGTATGTCAAATCTGGTTTATCCAGCTTCCTTTTTCTTCCTTACATGGCAGATATTACAGAACAGGGGTAGGTAATATTTGACACTACAGGTTTTGCAGACCACATCTCCCATGATGCTTGTAGAAGAAATATGCCGGCAAAGCATCATGGAAGATGTAGTCCACAGCATCTGGAGTCCTGAGGGCTGCCTGGCTATATACTAAAAAGTGCAAGAAAGGGAGGGGGAGAGGAAAATTAGAATCTCAAAGAAGGAGTTTTATTGTGGGGCTACTGATTGTTTATTCTCAACATCCAGGGGTTGTGGTACCTCTGGAATGATAGAATGCATATGTGCAGGTCAGAAACCATTCCTCCAACACTGATAAAGAAGAGTAAAGCACAGCTACTGCAAGTTACAATGGCCAATGATTGACAAGGCATCAGGAAGAGTAAGGGGGAAAAAAGGGGGTAAAGGGGCTGGTGTGGGTCCCTCAATAATAACAGTACACGTTATTATAAAATGTGACCTTTTGTAGATTTTAATTTAATCTCATCTTCCAATAAAAGAATATGTAGGAGTATAAATGTAAGTGATTGCCTTGGAGAGCTTGCGTGGAGCCATGCATAACTGTTCAAAGAGGATTCCGTACAGGAATATGATTTCCTAGAAAAATATTTGGAGAGAACACTGCAGCTGTAGGTATGGGGGAAAAAAATAGCTTCAAGGACATTAGGAGTTGGTTGTACATTTTTTCAGATCATTGAAATGGCAAAAGGGAACACTTGGCCTGAAGAGCCTGTCCTGTATAGCACTGAAAGCTGTGGAACAAGGTAAGTCCCCCGTGTACTGTTGACTGAGATCTAAATGTTTGGTGGAATAGGCAAGGAATGGGAAGAAGCAAAATAAGTCAAAGCTGCCAGCTATGTTAAGTAAAAAGGAAGCATGTTTTCTTTGAACACTTGCATATTTAAATCTGTATAATACAGAACCTGTACTCATGTTTACCACATTCATTTGAGAGAGAATTAATTTGCCATGCAGAAATAAGATTTTCAAAATACAGCTATTTGCCAAATGGAAGGTATAAATAGCTAAGGCAACGAAATGTTAATGTGACCCAAATTTGTAAACTTTTACTTGCAAGAAAAACCGGTATGTTTCATAAATTGATCGATAATAGTTTTGCAGAATTTGCTTGTACAGTTTTGGATCATAGCAGTTTACCACACAATAGTAACCTGCACACAGACATAACACATGATGAATTTCTCTTATGGTCCAATACCTATTTTAAGATTAAGGCATTTAAAACCATAAGGACAACTTTATTCTGATGCATGTAACGCAGCTGATGAATATGGAAAATCATTTCCTTATACATACTGCACACACCAAGTATTCGATTGAGCAAGGTAGCAAAGATCTTTTAAATAAGAGCTACACTGGAATACAAAAATAAGATGGAAATGCCAATATCCCCTCACATTCCCAATCAGCAGACCATTTACATAATCCAATCACTCATTATTGGGTACCAAGATGAAGGCAGGTCCTAGTCACAAAGTTCTTTCCTGGTGCTCTAATGATTAATTGCTCCTGTGTCTGGAATATAAACATAATCTATAATCCGCTTGGCAGATTGAGATAGAAATTAGTATTTATTCTGCTGAGCTTGCTGGGACAGTCTCTTTGACCCAGACAACTGAATTAAAGGGACACTGTATGCAACCAGACCACTTCAGCTCATTGAAGTGGTCTGGGAAGTGTCCTTATTGCACTTAGTGCTGCAATGTTAAACATTGCAGCACTAAGTCACCCTCTAGTGGCTGTCTAGAAGAGAGCCACTAGAGGGCTTGCTGGTTTGAAACTAACCTTTGGTCCGATATCTGCCGCTAAACATACTCATGCTCTGCCTGAGGACCTCCAGCGTCGTCCTCCCCCCGAATAGGAAAGCACTGATACAATGCTTTCCTATGGGGAGGTCTAATGCACGTGGCATTTGCCACACATGCGCATTAGAGACAGCTTGTCGCGGGATGGAGGAGCATCGGCCCAGCACTGTGATCAGGTAAGTAAATAAAAAGGTTTAACCCTTTATTCACTGGGGAGAAGGAGCGATAGTGCCAGGATCTATGCGCCTGTCCAGCCCCCGAAGTGACTAGCTGCCTAAGATGAGAGGCGGCAAGGCGGCATGGAGCATTAGGAGCTGCGGGGACCATGGGGGTGAAAAAGAGAGAGAGAGGGAGAGAGAGTGTGTGTGTGTGTCCCTTCCGTTTGCAAGGGAATGGTGTTTTTACTCCCCTCAACTGGCCCTGCCTCTATGGCCGAGATCATCAAGCTTGATGATCTCAGCCAATCCAATGTTTTCCCACAGAATTGGATGCAAAACCCTGCACCAATCAGCATCTCCTCAAAGATGCATTGAATCAATGCACCTCTATGGAAAACATTCAACACCTCCACACAGAGCGTGGAAACGCTGAATAGGTGCTGCACACTGCAGCACTGACACAGGAAGCACTTCTAGTGACCATCTGAGTAATTGTCACTAGGTGTCACTCTGAAAAGGCAGTGTTTACATTTGAAAGTGTGCAGGGACTGGCTATAGCCACCAGAACCACTACATTAAGCTGCAGTGGTCCTGGTGACTATCGTGTCCCTTTGACAATTTATTTTTGTCGTTGAATATAAATCTAGGCAAGTTTAAAAACAAATATGGCTCCTAACGGTTTTAGCTGGCTCCTAGATACAAAGCAAATTTGTCAAGCCCCATTTAAAAAGATGTGCTTTAGGGGATTCTATAGTGTTAGGAATACAAATCTAAAGTAATACAATAGCATTACAAATACAAACGGGTATACCTAATAATATAGAGCCCAAGTTTTTCCTCATTTTTGAAAGTGATTTTTTTTTTTATGTCGGAATATTGGGAAACCTCAAATCCTATTCAATGTAACTTAGCTTACTGTGTGCTTTCAGGTTTTTGTTTTTTTTAATAACTGAACTAACAGGATGATTTTCTTGCTCACTAGTTTAGCTCATTGGTTTCATGTCTGTGTTCTTCCAGGTTTTGTTTTGATTTTCCCCCAATAGTGCAACAAACTCTGCAAAAAGATGCACAGGTACACTACACACGGGAAGTGAAAGAGGTTTTATGTCACTTGACCTCAATAGCTGCACATTTACATAAATCCTTGTAATAAGCTACCAACTCATTCATATTATGACTCTACATCACACACATATATTAACGAAAAATAAAACAAGATCCTTCTGCTAAAATGTATAAAAATAAGGGATTCTTAATGTGAATCTAAAGAAATTGTAAATGTCATTGTGTTTAGTTTCAGTTAAATGTCATTTAATACATGCTTACATTTCCAATTACAAATCCACTTAAAATATAAATTATCTTTGATTCATACTAAATGATATATTAAATCAGGCGTCCTCACACTGTGGCCCTCCAGATGTTGCTGAACTACAACTCCTATTCTTTGAATTACATACATAGCCAAAGAATCATGGGAGTTGTAGTTCAGCAACATCTGGAGAGCCGCAGTTTGAGGACCCCTGTATTAAATGATCTGCCCTGACCGGCTGCAGGTTCTCCACTATACTGTACTATGGTGACAGTGTGATCAACACAGGAAGACAGGATAGGGCCTCTGCAATGTCTTAAACCCAGCTCTCACCTGGTAGTGGTGATTGGATGTGGTATGCAATCCTGTTATTGAATACATGAGAAAACAAAGGACTGAAGAAACTAAATTGTGCATTGCTCCTAAAATATATTCTTTGCTCCTAAACTTTCAGGAGGATTGCAAATTCTTCTACAGAAAAGAAAAAATAAGATTACCTATGACAAAGCAGAAATTTAAATCAAGTGCTTAGGTAAAAAAAAACAAAAAACATGTTTTAACAGCTTACCTTTCTTACTTATATGTACCTTCTTCTATGCATATGGATTTTTGCAAAGATTGTATATCTAATATGTTGACTGAAAAAGAGGTTAATATATACAATACTTCAATTTTGTAGATTCCATGTAATACTCAGAATATGTCATTACACAAAAGTTATGTTTAGAAGACAAAGATGCGACCAATTAAGGGCTAAATGATGCAGGAAGTCTATACAAGATGATGCATTAGAATTAGATTGAATAAATATGATAAAAAGTCAACCCTACTGTACTTAATTACAATACAAACATGCAAGAGTGAAGAAATAGGTCACAGGAATATAGATCTAATAATAACTTTGAGAATGAATTTTAAGAATCTATTAAAAAGCAAATATCAAAAAAAAAAAACACAAACATGAAAAACAAGTTAAACATTACATATAAAAGGTCATTTGATGGAGCAAAGATGACTAATAATTAGAGGCATTTCTGTAAAATTCACAGTTCAGTATTTTGCACACACACACCAGCTGCCAATATAGACATCACCCAAGAAACATCACTCCGTTATCCGTGTTTGTGACAGCAATGTAACTTTGTACTCAATTCTTAAGTCCACTTGCAAACTTAAGTAAAAATGCAAACTGAAATTATTTTTGGGAAATAAATGTATTTACAGTATTAAAATACAAAAAATATGCCCAGTGTTTGGAGGAACACAGGTAGGAAACTTTCTTGACCAACAACAATCCATAACTACTTGTACATAGATATCTCATATGTATCCAGCCCTGGTTTTATGTACTGGATAAACAAAAAAAGTCACTGAACGTAGAAATTTTTTGCAGAATTACAGAATAAATGAGGGAACAGAACTGTTTGCGTGCTATTCAACATTAACCGCTGGTAAATATCTATTCGGTCTTGGCTACCTCCCAAACAATGCCCATCTGAGGTTTTTAACTACAACTCCCTTGATGAATAGCCTGCCCACGCAGAAAATGTAGCCCCACAACAGCTAAAAAGCAAAACTGAACTGTTGGCCCCTTCATTATTAGACAATAAATAAACCGGTGCTTGGTATTCTTGTTTATATAGGCAATTTCATTAAGAGCTATTACCACTAGTGTAAATAAATGCAAGTAGTTTATATATTATCTTCATTTGAGACAGTTTACTTTAGAACTGAAATTTGATTAGTAAACACTCAAACTGTAAAATAAACAGGAGGTTTAAAAACTATTGGATGTTTGACATCAAAATCACTTGGGAAAGAAAGGACATAACTTTGTTAAGATGAGATCTTATCACAATGTATATACTTTGTTACAGGATACCTTAAATCAAACTACTGAAAATTTTGTATCATTAGAAATTCAGGAAAAGTGGTTTTATACTGTAAGAGATGTTCTGCGCTTGCACAGAAGACCACATATTGTATTAGCAAAAGATGCAAATTCATTGCCCTTTTGGCTGCCTAAGTTAATTAAAAAGGTCAGGGTTTATACAATACATTCTACAACTGAGCACCGATTTCTGTAACTGAACGGGCTGATAAATACTATGAACATCTGTTTGGCGTATTCCCTTCCCCCAAAATAAGTGTCTAAAATGGATTTAATTAACACTAGCTTAAATCACATCTAATATTTGGTGCTACATGATTTCAACACATCTATATACGATACAATTATACAAAAGTGTGTTAAACATCTAAAAACACAACCAAAAAAAAGAGAGCAAACAAAACCTATGAAATTCCTTTTTTTCTTCTTTTTTTTTTTTTTTTTACAGGAAAATACTTTTGAAGTATGCATTTAGTACAGTAACTTCCGAATTCTTTTAAAGAAAATCTACTGCAAGCAAAGTTATCAACCTCCAGAATAAATCACATAGCATTACTAAGCATATCCCCCAAAAAAGTGTACAATATGCACACTTAAAATAAAAAAAAAATAATTAAAAAATGCAACAGTTGAGAATCTATTTATAAGTGAGGCATGTCCAATTTTAGTAACGTGGTAGAAAGTCTTGATGCAGTTTTGTGAAGTTGCTCTCCTGCAGGAGAAAAGGTAGGGGATAAGGGCATCACTGTACAAACAAAAAAAAAAAAAAACACTTCGGAAAATTATATATAATAGGGCAGGCAAGAGAGCGTTGGATTTTGAAGTCCTCCTTTGTAATAAGTAATCTACAGTACGTTATCAAAACGATCTTAGTAGAGGTGGTTTTCTTTTAAGATTCATCCCTGCAAACCTTGTACAAAGGAAGGTGTATTTTGATCATACACCACTGATGCTTTTCAAGGATAATAGGTCTCTCCATTTATGGAATTTCACTGGTTATTTTTGGCTTTGGCATGTGTTAAAATGTGAGATTTTAGATTGGTAGACTGAGCAAATTTCTTGTTGCAGCCGTCAAAAGGGCACACATAGGGCCGATCCCCAGTGTGAATCCGCACATGAGTACGTAAATTGAAGTCCAATGAGAATCGCTTGCCACAGCCTTCAAACGTGCACTGCAAGATAGAAAGTGAGGGGGGGAGGGGGAATCACTTATGTGAACATCTTAACGTACAACCAACCCCAATAAATGCATGCATTGTGCCATCACAGGATGAACTTACAATAAAATCTGATTTAAAAATACATTTCTGGGTAGTGTGTTCTTGTGGAAACCTTTCTTTATCTAAACTGCACGGAAATCTAGAGCTCGTTAGGTGGTGTACTGAGAAATTAGGGGATTAAATGAGTTCCAGGTATTTCCGTGAAAAACACATTGTATAAACAAGCAAAACATCACCTAATGGGAGAATTCTCTGCTATGTCTATTTGAATGACATCATATAGGATTACCGTATATACTCTAGTATAAGCCGACCCGAATATAAGCCGAGGCCCCTAATTTTACCACAAAAAACTGGGAAAACTTATTGACTCGAGTATAAGCCTAGGGTGGGAAATGCAGCAGCTACTGGTAAATTTCTAAATTAAATCCCAATAAAATTACATTAATTAAATATTTATTTACAGTGTGTGTATAGAATGAATGCAGAGTGTGTGTGTATGTATTATATATATATATATATATATATATATATATATATATATATAAGGAATGCAGTGTGTGTGTGTATATAATGCAGTGTGTGTGTGTTTGTGCAGTGTGTGTAAACTGGATGAGGGGAGGGCATTTTTATTTTAATTTTATTATTTTAATATTATTTTAATAATATTATTTTAATATTTGCATTATTGTCCCCCCTCCCTGCTTGTTGCCTGGTCAGGGAGGGGGGACAAAAAAATTTTTTTTTTTTTTTTTTTAAATAATGCAAATATTAAAATAATAATATAATATTAAAATAATAATATAATTTTATTATTATATTATAATATTTGCATTATTATTTTTCTTTAAATGTTTTTTGTCCCCCCTCCCTGGCCAGGCAACAGGGAATGGGGACAAAAAAAACCATTTTAAAAAAAATAATGCAAATATTAAAATTATAATAATATAATATTTTAATAATATTTTATTATTATTAAAATAAAATATTAAATCCCTGGTGGTCCAGTGGCATTGGCAGTTCAGTGGGGGGGCTGACAGTGAGCCTTACTTACCTTCCTGCAGCTCCTGTCAGCTCCCTCCTCCTCCGTGCAGCTCCCCGGTCAGCTCCGTTCTGTTTACAGTTTACTATGAGCAGAACGGAGCTGACAGAGGAGCTGCACGGAGGAGGAGGGAGCTGCAGGAAGGTAAGTAAGAGCTCACTGTCAGCCCCCAACAGGACCGCCGGGCTTGTAATGAGCCCGGCGGTCCTGGTCTGAATTATGGCAATGTAAATTGCCATAATACAAACTGACTCGAGTATAAGCCGAGTTGGGTTTTTTCAGCGCAAAAAATGTGCCAAAAAAACTCGGCTTATACTCGAGTATATACGGTACTTATTTCTCATGAAAAATATAAAAATAATAATCAGTTACTGACAAATGCACAGTAACACAGTACTTTGTCAGGCGAGTAATTCTAATGAATAAGAAATGTTTGCAGGAGTAAATATAAGCTGCCGCATTTAGGAAGAACTTTGGAAATTCATTAAAGCAGCCACGTACTAAGGTGGAAACCTACTCACACAATGTGTACTCAAACGTGACACCCAGTAGAAGCCTATAAGCATATGCTTACATAGTGTGAAAACAGGCATTGTATCAAGTGTACTCCAGCTGAAATATATCTATTTACCTGAAATGGCTTTTCACCAGTATGAACCAGCTGATGTCTCTTAAGTTTTGAACTTTCAACAAAGGCTTTCCCACATTCTGCACAAACGTGTACTCTTGGACCATGTGTGTGCAAGTGCTTCCTCATGGCAGAGTTATCCCTGAACATCTTTGTACATCCCTGTAAGAAAAGAAAATGTGATGGTGTGTGAAGACTTGTATAATAAATCCATAGAAAACAATGTTACAAATAACACCTTAAAAGGGATACTAAATTCCAAAAGCACCCCATGTTAATGTAGTGGTTTTGGTCCATAGGTGATGTCCCTTTGCCCCTTAATGACCAAACTTCTGGAATAAAAGGGAATCATGACATGTCACGGGTCCTTAAGAGGTTAATGACAATGCAGCATTTCGCATATATGGCACGGTTTACATTAGCCTGAGAAAACACCACTAGAAGCTGTAAAATAGGCAGTTGGTAGAGGAACTTCCTCCTCACATCCTTTGATTTCCAAAGGTCGCCATGTTCGGAGTCAGACGAAACAGATTCAATGCATAGCAGTTGCTTCAAGTAGACTGCTATTGTGCTGGAATAAATGTTTTGTAGTTTTTTTTTTTTTTTCTCTAAACAGAAGGAGGACTGAATCTAAAGACCGTAAAGAACACCAACATTACCTTATTTTTTTTTTTTATATTTGTAAGTGTATTCTTACAAATAAAAGAGGATCCTTTTAAAATGAGATATCCAGTTAAGACAAAACAAAAGTGTTGATGTCTGCAGGTTACAGATCATGAAACATTTTTCCAGGGTACTTACTTTGTGAGGGCAGGCAATGGTTCTAGGAGCATCATCTTCTTTGATTTTTCTGGGCTTCATCCTTGGGAGAAGAAAAATGCAGTGCATGAGTTCAAAGTATTACAGCAGTTTCATTTGGCAATCCAAGAATAAAGCATCTGAGATTTTCCAGCTAAGGTACCCTTAGTAGATTCCCTTGTGAATGGCATGGCTTCAGAATATGGGTGTAATGTACAAGTTACCCATTTTATGTATGATGCAGGGTGGCAGAGGAGCTGTCCCACAGCTATAATGAACAGAGGGAGAACAGATTCTTGCACAGAAACATATTCGAGAATAGGTGCTTTTTATTTTTTATCTTAAATGTTTTGCATTGTATATTAGAAAAAAATTAAATGCCCAACAACAAGGTTGTTTTGTACAAAAATTCTAGAAGGGATCATGCACACACACACACATATATATATATATATATATATATATATATATATATATATATATATAAAAAATCCTCTCTATTACTCTGCACATTGCATGCATGTACTACATTTCCTGTAATTTAAATCATTTTAGAACAAAAGTACAGAGAGAGCCAGCACACTAGATCTGTGAATAAATGACAAGAACTACCATTGTTATTTTCCTGCATCAATACCATACACAAATACTTGTATACATATAGTTATTAACAAATCAACCACTGCATACAGCTGCCCAGGCACTCTGGTAGCTTTTAAACATACTTCTATATTGTAAATAAAAAAAAAAATAAATAAAAAAAAAGTGCCAACAATTTGGAGAGAAGTGCTCCTCTCTCTCTGCAGTAAACAATTACAGGAAATTTCCCTGTCTAGGAGGGGGTTTTAGAATTCAGTTAAACCAAAAGGACAAATAGATCTGGAACAGATATTGTAGGTAAGAGAAGAAATACCAGGAATGTGGGGTTTTATACTTCCTTTCACTACATTACACAATCCTCGCAGCAGATACTAGAGTGAGGAAATGTCACTTTCACAGCAGCTGAAGAAAAGGAAATTGGATAGTAGGCACAGAATATGTATAGCAGGAGCAGACAGTGCGGCTTACATATCCCACATGATCATTGCACGTCACAGATCAAGACATGGAACAAGGTCAAAACATCGCCTGCTCACTCTCAAAAAATTTTTTTTTTTTTTTTAAAATGACACTAGCCTGCTCACTTTCAGAGACAAGACAAATCTGCACTAAGGGACTTGAGCCTCAATGTTTACTAAATACTCTGTTCTGTTAAAAAAATATTTTCAAATGTATTGTAGATAAATCATTTCAATAGTTTTTTCTTCTTCTTCTAAAAGGCCGTGATCATTTGAAAAGTTTATCTAACAATATCAATTTAAGGTCTTAATCAACTAGTCTCTCATTTAGATATCTGTTGAGAGGAAGGGTTATCTGTATTTATTTTTGCATTCTTGGAGTTACCTTGCAAATTCAGCCAGTTGCTTGGGATCAGATAAATCGATGCCTGGTATACCTCCTGGGGGGAGTTTCTTTCCGGTCATGTATTCTGAATAGTCAGGAGGAGAGTTTTCACCAATAATCTGCTCTTCGACCACAGTTTCATGGTCAATATCTTTCTTGTCATCTGCAAAAACAAATGTACAAATAAAACATCTATAGCATGAATAGTTAAATAAATCAGCTTCTAAAAGGAGGAGATGCATTGTATCTGCTAAAGTGGACAAAACTTATTCTTATGAACTGACAAAACTGGCTATGGACTTATTTGTTGCTTGCTTGGTGCAGTGAATTCTTGTAGATAAATGTACCCGTACAATTTTAATTGTAAACAGGGATGTGGAATTTATATCACCCGATGCCCACATGCAATTGTAGCCCGGTCGTTGGCCTTGGGAGGGAGGTGGTGCTCAGCAGGGACTTTATCTCTGGCAGGCATACTGGGTCGCCATGAATGTGTCCAATGCAGCTCACAGGAAGGTGTGAGGTGAGGCAGCAGCCAACTGCTCCTCACGATTCTCAGGACTAATGGCTGCCATGACATCATATCCTTGCAACCAACTGGAAGTAAAGGGCAGAGTGAGTGTGGGACGGGCTACACATCCACTGAACATCAGCTGCTGGTAATCTGTGCTCAGTGGGAGTGAATGTGTAGTTTGTGGGTATAGGTCAGTGTGTGTATATAAATCACAACCACGTGCAGCTTGCACACCCTAACGCACGCACGCGCACACACACCCACCCACCCACCCCACCCCCTTTCAAAAGAGAACTGAAAGTCTGAGGGGCTTCAGCCAGTGGTGTGGAAGGCTGTGCAGAGAATCCGGTCAGGAGAATACAGTGTCTGTGTGGTACCAGCCAACCCCATGCCAGTGGAACAGGAAACTCTGCGGCTGCTGTGGACTCCACTGCCCATGGTGTTCAGTCACAGATCACTTCTTTGGTTGGCTGAGCGTGATGGGTAGTGTAGTACTATAGAGATTTGCTAGGAATGGCAGTCCTCTACATCAGCCAACTCCCAACTCAAACTTTCCAGGAGATGTGGTGTGTTTGTGTGTGTTTTTCTGGGCTGGGAGGCATTTTACTCATTGTCCAATATCGTGTATTTAGTGCAGGAATGGCCCTTCTCTGTCTGCCATATTCATTAAGGGAGGACATATGCTATTTACCATGCTAACAGACTGGGGGTTCTGTAAAGAAAAAACAAGGAAAAAAAAACAAAACAAAAAAACATTCTGAGGCAAACTTCTAAAGATTAAAAATCAGCATTAGGGACATTACTTTAAATTACATAGTGACGGCTCCATTTACTAAACTCTGCCCTGGAATTGCTTTTCCACAATGCCCAGTGTCCATGTAACATTCTGCTTCAGAATATTAGTAACATTGTGTGAAATTCTATGTCAGAATGTTCAACATGTCTGTGGTTGAATGCACCTGTAGAGACAGAGCATGTGCCAGGCATATTGAATGAGAAATGCCTTTTTTTTTTTTTTTTTAAATGACTTGTGGGAGGGCAGTAATAACACATACCTGTTGCATTATCTAATTGATTTTCCTGCAATGTGTATAAAATGTGTGCCTATTGAGGGGGTTTTGTATTTAATTGTAGTATTACATTACATAAGGTTTGACATGTGCTCTTATTGCTCCATTGTATAGCGTTACAGAATGTGATGGCGCTATATAAATTATAAAATAATTGCAATCAAATGGGTCTTACTTTTTTTTACCCTTTTATGCGAAACACAGAAGTATATTATTACAATGTGTTATTTATAATTTTGTATTAAAATAATTCATTAAAAAGTTTTATATTAATAAAATGATAGAAAAAAAACTATTTTAAAATCATTTGGGGAAAAACAAAAAAGTCATTTTCAGTTTTGGTTTTAGGCCAAGGGCATCCTGATTTCCGGTTTCGGTGCATCCCTACACATCACATACAGCCCGCACACACTACACACCATGAAAAACATGAAGACTATGGGAAGACAGAGGGTAAAATAAAAGACTCAAATTTTCTCAAAATAAATCCCAAAAAAATAGCCATTTTGTGAATATTCCAAGTTCAGAAATAGCCCTATCAATCAATTGCCAGAGTATTTGGCAAGGACTCCATTCCTTTTAAGTGAAATTCTTTTGTGTCAGGACAAGTAGATTGAGCTACCACTTTAGTCCCTTGAACAAGTAGCTTTATAAATATTTAAAAAACAAAACAAAAAAAACATTCTAATAAAAGCTCCAAACCCCAGGTAAGGCTTAAATATTTGCCTGGTAAGTGTAACATATTACTAAGTGGTTTGATTAAACCCCCCAAGGACAGTCCCATGTTCTACTGCTAATCTGGAAGTGAAACTTTCGTATTAGCATTACAGTCAATTCCATATTTCAATGTCAGTCACTGGCAGACTGTGAGTGGACCCTATCAGTTAGCGAATGGCTTAAAAATATGGATTAAATGGATGTCCACATTAAAAATAGACCAGCGAGAGACTGGGCCATGGACCCTTTGGTCAAAACAACAGTGAACCATCACCCACAGCACGATGACACTATAAACAGTACATGCAGTGGTTATGGTACCCAGACTGACAACACTTTAAGAAGGAAGTTGTGGCAAACTTAATCAAAGATTTTAAAACAGGGGGAGACCACAGTGTAAATGTCACCATCTGTGACACCCAGCATGGTAGGACTTTTAAGATGCAATAAACTGCAGGGCGAGGGGAGTGCCACCTCAGCCTACTGAAACACCGTATAGGCGATGAATGACAACCTCAATGTTGCTAAAAGTCCATGTTCTGTAGTCTCTCCCTCTGCTATAGTGTGTGTGTGTGTGTGTTGGCTGTATTTGAAAAATGGTATTCAGATTTTTCATCTCTACAATTTGAGTGTGTTATGCTTCTAATATACACACACGTAAATATTAAAGGGACACTATAGTCACCTGAACAACTACAGCTTAATGTAGTTGTTCGAGATCTATAGCTCCCTGCAGGAAATCTAATGTAAACACTGTATTTTCAGAGAAAATATATAGTGTTTACATTGATTGATAGGAATACTTCCAGTGGCCGTCACTCAGACGTCCACCAGATGGAAGCGTCTGATTGCTCCCTGCCTGCGCCCGCCTATTTCGTCATTTTGGCGGCCTTTAGCTTTGTGCACCATGAAGTTCGGCTGCTGCAGCACATCTCATGCCGTCAGTTTACTGTTTTACTGTAAACCCAGCGGTCTTTCTGCAGTGGACAGTCTTTGAACCACACTAATCCCTCCTGCAACTTGCATGCGGCAGGGCTAAATGAATAGAAAAACTGCTCACTTGGTGCCTGTAACTAGATGTCCCGACTGCTGGCCGATATAAATTCACATCCCTGATTGTGCTAGCAAATGTCTAGATTTCACTAAAATCCTAGTCCCCTTGTCCAGTCAGTAAATTTAGTCTGTGCAGAGACAAGAAGGCAGTGCGCTGCATGCCTGCTATCAAGGAAAACCTCCTACGGGCATCTCTCCCACTTGCCTTCAGCCTTAGGGAAGGCAATGCCTGCAAGGAGTGAAATCACTGCTGAAGAAATAGGAATCTCATTTAGATCACCTCACCAGTAAGTGTCCTTGGGCAAGACATCTAACAATATATATCTCACCTACTTCAAATCCTCATTATAAGCTTCTCTTCACACCTAAACTGCTACAGGTGATTTTCAGGGATGGGGGAATTCCAATCGACTGAAACACGGGACAGGCAATTCTGGGTACCGGGTTACCTTTAGCCCATGGTTTGACAAGTTTGCTTGAAATCCAGGAGCCAGCTAAAAGGAGTTGTGAATTAAATTTAATTCTTAAAAGGGACACTATAGTGACCAGAACCACTACAGCCTAATGTTGTTCTTAAGTCTATAGCCTATCCGTACATGCTTGTCAATGTAAACACTGTCTTTGCAACTAGAGGTGTTACTAGGCAGCAATGTAAACATTGCCTTTTGTCTGAAATCACTCAAATGGCCTCTAGAGATGCTTCCTCAGTGCTATGTCTAGCACCTACATTCAGTGTCCCCATGCTCTGCATGAAGGCGCTTAATGCTCCCCATAGAGGTGCATTGATTTAAGGCATCTCTAGGAGGAGATGTTGATTGGCATAGCATGGTGTTTTGCCGTGCATGCCCAATAGTCTCCCTATGCTTTCCTATAAGGTGGAAACATTGGATGTGATTGTCAAGATTAAAGGACCACTATAGGCACCCAGACCACTTCAGCTCAATTAAGGGTCTGGGTGCCAGGTCCATCTAGGGTTAACCCTGCAGCTGTAAACAAAGCAGTTTCAGAGAAACTGCTATGTTTACAATAGGCTTAATCCAACCTCTAGTGGCCATCTCATTGACAGGCGCTTCTCACTGTGAAAATCACAGTGAAGACGCCGACGTCCATAGGAAAGCATTGAGAAATGCTTTCCTATGGACTGATTAAATGCGCGCGCGGCTCTTGCCACTTCCTCCCCTTAACCTCTAATGGACCCCCAGTTATCATAGCCCCCCACAGCTAGAGACCACACACAGACACAATGCGAGCATAAAGAGTAAGGACAGAAGCAGACATGCTCTAGGTACACGGGCCCGAGTATTATAAATTACAATTATTTTGTGGGTCAGGACAAGTAGATTGGATTATTACCACTTTAGTCCCATGGACCAGTAGATTTTTTTGTAAATTTTTTTTTAACCCCTTAAAGGACCACTCTAGGCACCCAGACCACTTCAGCTTAATGAAGTGGTCTGGGTGCCAGGTCCTTCTAGGGTTAACCCATTTTTTAATAAACATAGCAGTTTCAGAGAAACTGCTATGTTTATGAATGGGTTAAGCCTTCCCCTATTTCCTCTAGTGGCTGTCTCATTGACAGCCACTAGAGGCGCTTGCGTGCTTCTCACTGTGATTTTCACAGTGAGAGCACGCCAGCGTCCATGGGAAAGCATTGTAAATGCTTTCCTATGCGACGGGCTGAATGCGCGCGCAGCTCTTGCCGCGCGTGCGCATTCAGCCCAGGAGGAGGAGAGCTCCCCGCCCAGCGCTGGAAAAAGGTAAGTTTTTACCCCTTTCCCCCTTCCAGAGCCGGGCGGGAGGGGGTCCCTGAGGGTGGGAGCACCCTCAGGGCACTATAGTGGTCCTTTAAAGGACATATGACATGTGTGACATGTCATGATTTCCTTTTATTCCAGAAGTTTGGTCCTTAAGGGGTTAATTTAAAATTTCCACACGCCTGATGTTAACACTGTGTAAATGATAAAAAAAGGAAAAAAGGAAAGGCTCTGTGAGAAAGCAGCAGAATGATTTATTGCAGGAGCTTAAAAAATACAGTCTGAGAATAGACACAGAAGTAACATACATTTTATAAACCATAAAGTGTAACACCCACTGTAAACATGAATGATGCTCTCAGCAGGAGTAATAGAAATAACTTAAAATAGGAGCTTTTAATAGTATTAAGCAACACTTATTTGTACAGCATGAGTCAAGTCAGAAATACTACAAACATCTGTCGTGACAGGTTCACTTTAAACCAGGCTTCATCAGTTTTGGACAGCAGCAGGCCTTTACTTTGTAATCTTTTTAAAACCCCCATACCATAAGGTCTCAAATTTCCCTACCCCAAATGTTACTGGACTGCATACAAAGAATTCTGAGAGTTGCAGGTGTATAAACATCTAAAAAGGTCATGCTCTAGAGAAGGTATTCAAAATAAATAAAAGCACTGCCAAATGCCAGGATGGTAATGCTAAAGTAACAAGTGAAATTGATGGCACCTTTAATGTTGTCACAAGTGTAGTATCTGCCATGCGCGATTAAGCCACTTTGAAATTATGTTGTGGAATATGCCTTATTTGGCATAACTGTATGAAAAGTTGAATATTAGTTGCAACCTTAAATGGACACTATAGCCACCAGAACTACAGCTTATTTTATTTGTCCTGGTGAGTAGAATTATTCCCTTCAGCCTTTTTGCAGACAATGCAGTGTTTACATTACAGCGTAGGGATACCTCCAGTGGGCAATCCTCAGATGGCTTTTAGAGGTGCTTCTTGGGGCAGTGCTGCACAGTGTGACTGCCATTCAGTGTCCACCCTCTGCATGGACACACTGAACTTTCTTCATTGAAATAGATTCATTCTATGCATCTCTATGAGGAGATGCTGATTGGCCAGGGCTGTTTTTGGCTTGTGCTGGCTCTGCCCGTGACCTGCCTCCTTGACCGTTTCAGCCAATCCTATGGGAAAGAATTTCGATTGGCCTTTGATCAGCACTTCCGATGAAGTCAGCCAAGCAGGCAGATCAGAGGTAGAGCTAGCAGCAGCATACTAGAGTAAAGGTAAGATTATACTATATTTATGGGGGCAAGATGGTTGTTTTAACACTATAGGGTCAAGATTAAATTTAATAAAAAAGTGTTCCTTTATAATTAAAAAATTATATTTTTTTTAGCTTAATGAAAAATAAATTTTAATGTACAGATCATGACCCTGCAGTCTCACTACTCAATTCACTGCCATTTAGGAGTTTAATCACTGGTTTCTGTCCATACAGCCCTAGCCACACCTCCCTTGGCTGTGACAACTTGCCTGTGGAAAAAAAAAAAAAAAGTTTCATTTCCAAACAGATGCTAACTTACTTTAGAAGTTTTTTTTATTTTTTATTTTTTATCTCCTGCTCTGTAAATTGAACTTTAAATCACATACAGGACGCTCCTGCAAGGTCTAGCAAGCTAAGAACAGTACAGGAGATATTAAATTCTAATTTAAACGGACTTTGAAATAAAAAAATAAAAAAAAAGTTTAAATATTAGATTGCTCTTTATAGGAAGTGTTTAGGAATGCTGTGCAAGTCACATGAAGTGAGGTGTGACTAGGTCTGCAAGGTACATACAAAGTGCTTTAACTCCTAAACGTCAGAAAATTAAGCAGCGAGACTGCAGGGGTATGATCTATACACCAAAACAGCCTCATTAAGGTAAAATAATTTTGGTGACTATAAATGTCCCTTTAACCGTATGTGTTCAGGACTCCAAATTTATTATGCACAACAAACCAACGGTTTCCAGAGAAAATAAAAATCATACTTCCATTTTTCAATATTTTTACTTATAGACCAATTCATCAACCTTTTGGAATTAATCTCATTCTACACCAAGGCTCCACAAAACCAAGCCTTTCCACAGGCTGCAAAGGAGCTGGTGGCAGACAGCGTCAGATCACCATCAGACTCTTAATGGCATCCTGGCTCAGCATGAAGGAAGGAAGTGGACACTTTCCAGGTGCTGTGAATCATGATTCCATAGGGGGAGTAGGGAGCTCTGAAGATATGTGTTGAAAGAGAGAGAAAAATCTCCCTACTTGACACCGGGGTCGTTTGCACACACACAAATACAGTTCTGCATTCATTTTTTTTTCTCCTTACCACACACTATCACTGACTCTTCCACTTCTGGTTCCTTTTTTTTTTTTTTTGAAACACACACACACACCCCAAGGCCTTGCCCCAAATTTTACTGTGGCTCTCATTTGGCACCTGTCCATCTATGTACTATATAAATTCACACAATCAGAATCCTGGAGTGCAATATTTGTCTTATATTTTGAAATGAAGATATGAAAAGTAAAAAGCCAAATGATATAGGGGGATAAGTGTGCAAATGCATCCCTACATTCATATAGCCTGGGCCCCATACAATATTGAATCAGCTACACCCAGGACTCCCAGCACACAACCCTGCAGGACTTGCCATAAGCAGAGGTAGCATTTCTGGATGATCGCTTCCCACCCACCACACCCCACCCTCCCCATGGTTATCACAACATTTATAGATAGTTCAAATTACCTACCATTCCTCTGAACCAATTATGTTAGCCTCTGTCCACCAAGCCCTCCACACCCAAAAAAAGCTATACTCACTCAATACCTCTTTAACCCTTAACCCTCCTAACCACAGCTCTTAAAAATACAGCACCTACTCTCCTACTAATGTTCTCACTTCTATTTTTCACTTTCTCTCTCACTTCCCTCATCATTAAAATCTCTCTATCATTTTACTTACCTGTTCCTGCTAACACCATCTTCATTGCTCCCTCTCTGCTCCCCTCATCTCAGTATTCATCACACGCACTTTATTCATATCTATCCAGCCTTTCTCCACAAACCCCTCCTAAATACCTAAATACAAGCTCTCATCCCCAACATTTAAATCTTACTCCCACCTTCTCTTCCTTTCCATCCTACTACTCCTAGCAGCAGGTGATGTCTCTCCAAACCCTGGTCCCTCCTCTTCTCAGCCACCTGGTACAAACACCAAAAACCACAACAACCTAATACCCATTCCATGTAATTCTCACTATAATTCCTCTTTTAAAGCTGCCCTCTGGAATGCACGCTCTGTGTGCAGCACCTTTAAATCTACTTCCATCCATGACCTATTTATCTCACACTCCCTAAACATACTTGCACTAACAGAAACATGGCTCTCTCCCTCTGATACTGCTACACCTGCCTCACTGTCTTTTGGTGGTCTTCACTTTACCCACAACCCAAGACAAGCAGAGATTAAAGGTGGCGGTGTAGGTTTTCTTCTCTCACCCCACTGCACCTTTAAAACCCTGTCTACCCCCCCTTCCCTCTCTTTCCCATCATTTGAAATTCATTCAATTCGCCTTTTCAAACCCTTCTCTGCTAACATTGCCGTAATCTATCGTCCCCCTGGTTCCCCTCTCCTCTTCCTTGACCACTTTGCTGCCTGGCTACCCTACTTCCTCTCTTCCAACATCCCATCCCTAATTCTTGGAGACTTCAATATTCCCGTTAACCCACCTTTGACCCCAGCAGCCTCTAAACTACTTTCAATCACTTCCTCCCTTGGACTTTTGCAGTGGGCTAATTCTCCCACTCATGTAGCTGGCAATACCCTCGACCTTATTTTCTCTTCTTCATGTACAATATCTAATATCTGCAACACCCCATTTCCTCTCTCTGATCACCACCTCTTATCATTTGCTCTCAATTACCCCCTCACCCAACAATCTCAGCCTAACCCCCCTCAGCTCAGGAGGAACCTTAACTCTATTGACCTCAAGCAGCTGTCAGCTGACATTGATTCACAACTGCTATCCATCCCTTCCCTCTCCTGTCCCTCACTGGCCATCTCCACATATAACACTACCCTCACATCTGCCTTGAACGCTGCAGCCCCGCTCAAAACATGCACCTCGAGGAGAACACGACCCCAACCTTGGCATAATAAATCAACACGCTATCTGCAGAGTTGCTCCCGTTGTGCTGAACGCTCCTGGAGGAAGTCCCGCACCCAGGCAGACTTTCTCCATTATAGATTCATGTTGCTTTCATACAGCGCAGCCCTCGCCAAACAGTCATACTTTTCCTCTCTCATTAGTTCATGCTCCCGCAATCCCAGACGCCTCTTTGACACCTTTAATTCCCTTCTCCGCCCTGCTGTGGCCACCCCCCAAACTAACCTTACAGCTGATAGCTTTGCATGCTACTTTACCGACAAGATTGAACAGCTAAGGAAACAATTCTCCCCTCCTTGCCGTTCTCTTTCTCAACCACATGTAAATCTTGCTTTCCCTACCCTCCAGACTTTCTACCCGGCTACTGAACAAGAGGTGGCTGCGCTTCTCCATTCCTCTCGCCCCACCACTTGCCCGCTCGATCCTGTCCCATCTCACCTCATCAGATCTCTCTCCCCTTGTCTTGTGCCTACCCTAACACACATCTTTAACTGCTCTCTCTCTTCTGGCACTGTTCCTGCTGACCTTAAACATGCCACTGTAATACCTATCCTGAAAAAACCATCTCTTGACCCATCCTCCCCTTCTAACTATCGTCCCATATCCCTGCTCCCTTTCTCATCAAAGCTTTTGGAAAGGCTTGTCTTTACCCGTGTGTCCCGCTTCCTTAATTCCAACTCTCTCCTTGACCCTCTTCAGTCTGGCTTCCGCCCTCTCCACTCTACTGAGACTGCTCTTATCAAAGTGACTAATGACCTAATCTCCGCTAAATCCAAAGGTCATTACTCCATATTAATTCTCCTTGACCTCTCTGCTGCCTTTGACACCGTTGATCATGCTCTCCTCCTTCAAACTCTTCAATCGCTCGGTCTCTGTGACTCGGTCCTCTCTTGGTTTTCCTCCTATCTCTCCCAACGCTCATTCAGTGTCTCCTTTTCCAAGGATACCTCCTCCACTCGTCCTGTCTCGGTTGGAGTTCCCCAAGGGTCTGTCCTTGGTCCCCTTCTATTTTCTGTTTATACCGCCTCTCTTGGTAAACTGATTGCCTCTTTTGGATTCCACTACCACCTGTACGCTGATGACACTCAGATATACCTCTCCTCCCCGGACCTCTCCCCTGCTGTCCTGCAACGTGTCACTGCTTGCCTTTCTTCCATCTCTGACTGGATGTCTTCACGCTTTCTGAAACTTAACCTCTCTAAAACTGAACTCCTTGTCTTTCCTCCTCCTAATACTGATCCTCCTCTCTCGCTCTCCCTTCAAGTCAGTGATATCCACATAAGTCCATCCCTGCAAGCGCGCTGTCTTGGCGTCATACTTGACTCTGGTCTCACCTTCGAGTCTCACATCCAGTTTGTTGCCAAGTCCTGTAGGTTCCAACTCAAAAACATAGCCCGCATTCGCCCCTTTCTTACGCAAGATGCTACCAAGGAGCTTGTCCATGCTCTAGTAATTTCCCGCATGGATTACTGTAACCCTCTCCTGATTGGTCTTCCCAAAAGCCGTATTGCCCCGCTACAGTCTGTAATGAATGCTGCAGCTAGACTGATTTTCCTCTCTAGTCGGTCCTCTCACACCTCACCCCTCTGCCGGTCCTTACATTGGCTCCCTGTATGCTATAGGAGTCAATTCAAAGTGCTAACCCATACATTTAAAGCACTGAACAGTTCTAGCCCCACTTATATCTTCACTGATCCATAAATATGCCCCTCCACGTACCCTCCGCTCTGCCCGTGACCACCTCCTGACTGCTGCTCGCACCCGTACGGCCAACTCGCGCTTGCAGGACCTCTCGCGGGCGGCTCCTCTCCTATGGAATAGCTTGCCTACTGCCATCAGACTCTCCCCTAGTCTTCAATCATTTAAGAAGGGCCTTAAAACCCATCTCTTCAGGAAAGCTTATGGCCTCCCAGAGTAATCTCTACCTTACATACCTGTCTCCTGCTCTCTCCTATGGGACAGTGCTTTGCTCTCTCCTCCAGCTCTGCTTCACTCCTACTTGATATTTATTGTCCTAATGTTTCAAATACCCCACCTCCAATAGTCTGTAAGCTCGTTTGAGCAGGGTCCTCTTCAACCTATTGTTCCTGTAAGTTTTCTTGTAATTGTCCTATTTATTGTTACACCCCCCCTCTCAAAATATTGTAAAGCGCTACGGAATCCGTTGGCGCTATATAAATGGCAATAATAATAATAATAATAATAATATACACTTACACTCAATTCACAGACTTCCGCATTCATGCATACTCTGTCACTGCAGGGGTTAAAAAAACAAAACAAAAAAAAAAGCAAACTTGTGCGCAGTGCCGGACAGCCAACCAAGCTACTCGCATTTGGCTGAAGCTCCTTCAAAGATCGAATTATTAAGCCAAATAACGGGGCTATTCTTGCTGACAGAACACTCAGCTGACTGTTGGGTCCACTACTGCTGGCATAGGCTGTGTTGTACACCTCTGCAACCTGCTGAGATACTTGAAGCAGAAGAGGCGCTTCTCCATGAATTCGATCGATTAGGTGGCGGGTCTGGGAGATCTTGCGGGACCGAATTCTTCCTCGCATCAATCTGGTCCACGCCAAGACCTCATGGCCCTGGACAACAGATAGACGTCCAGGGTGAGGCCATGCCTGGACATCTCCCGTGGGGTACCGCAGGAAGAAGGCATCGATGGCGCCAACAGCAGGATGGTGGTCCAGGAAACCAGTGTCCGGACCTAGGGGAGCGGCTTATTAAAGTGTGAGGGGGCCTGGGACCAGTGGGTGATCCTGATCAGCCACTCTGGACTTTAGTGCTATAGGTGTTTAAATTATGAATTTCTTAAAAGGACCACTATAGTGCAAGGAAAACAAATTTGTTTAGTGATGGCATAGACCGTCATGCAGCAAACATATCAGCATGGGTTAGATTCCTGCTGGTACCAAAAGGTACCTGGTGGCCCCCTTGATTAGCTGGGGCCAGAATTAGTGAGCGCTGCAATCAGGGATTTAAATCACCATTATTACAATGTGGTGCGAGCAGGGTTAAAACCCCTGATTACACCAGGAAAACTAGGTATCAGTAGATACCTGGGGCGATTATAGTGGCCCCAGACTTTTTGATTTGTTGCATGCATTGCTAAAGGGACGCTTTACGTCCTGCGTACAATCCCTATTTCATTCTACAGCTCACTCCTGAACAGCTACTTTATTGCTACTTAGTTGGAAAGGGATGTTACCGCGATACATTTATTGAAACAGTTTCTTTGTTTCTTAAATATAAATCTCTACAAGGTTGCTCACTGAGGTACATTCTGTTCTATTTTGTAATCTTCCAATGAGGTGGTGTTTATAACCTTTTCTTGAGACATTTAGTAGACATACCATTTGACATTTATCTTAGCACGTAATCAAGGAATTTTCCAAATATATTGGCATAGGTTGTGTGATGGTATTGTCTTTTAGATAACTTCTATCTTAATTTGATTAAGAATTCAGATTAATCCAAGTTGTTATTTTGTGATTTTCACTTTAAAATTACATGCTCTAGTTTTAAAAGGGCCATCCAATTACTCTGCTTCCTCTCCTTTGGAACATACTTTGCACTATAGGAACCAAGACCACCTCAGCTCATTGAAGTGGTCTGGGTTCACTGCCCCAAGTCTTTTAACCCTGCAAAGCTAATTATTGCAGTTTTTAAAAAACTGCGTGAGGGAATGGGGAGGTAATGTCATGCCAGAAAAAAACATTTTTTTTCCTGGCACTATAGTGTCTCTTTAAAATCCATAGAAAACACTGCTGGACAGATCATATCCACCCATAGTAATCCTCTCACTAGATCTGATGATTGGGAGACATGCGGGTTCTGAATAGACCCTGGAGGGGCTCCCTCAATTGCCAAACAGCATTTTGATCAGTGCTGGGCTTTGTTAGTTGCCCAGCGCCGATCACAATGCATTATGCATACTATATTCAATGTTAAAGACATAAAGTTGTCATATTAAAAAGAGCCAATAGATGGCAGCAACAAACCATTCTGTTTTATATTAAAAGAACACAAACCTGTATTCCTGACCATGTACAGTTAAAAACACCATCTAGCCCCCTGCCCATCCTCTCTAAATATAGTAAAAACTTACTTCTATTGCAGTCTGCTGCAGGTTTTGCCTGTTTGGCTGACATAATCAGAAGTTGTGTTTAATGCCAATCACAATGCTTTCTCATACGAAAGCATTGGATTAGTGGAGACTGTCAAGGAGGCAGATCAAGGGAAGAGCCAGCACAAACCAAACACAGCCCTGTCCAATCAGCATCTCTTCATAGAAATGCATCTTTATGAGGAAAGATCAGTGTCTCTACGCAGAGGGTGGAGACATTTATGGTCAGTGCTGCACAGTTTGCAGCACTGCCACAGAAAGCACCTGTAGTAAGCAACTGAGGAGTGCCCAGTGGAGGTATCCCTAGGCTGTAATGTTAACACTTGTAAAAAAAAACACACACAAAAAAAAAAAAACACAAAAGTTAGGTTCTCACTATATACTTTAAGGCAGCAGTAAATCTTACAAGGATTACCCAAAACCTTATAAGAAGGGACAGAAGACAAATACAAAAAAAATAGATAACCATGCCTTAAGACACTAACGTACAAAAATGAAATCAAATATAAATCATATGTACATACTTTTTTGTTAAAAGTCTGTGAAGTCTTTGGCTGTTATACAGTGCATGGTATCTTAAAAAAAAGGAAAAAGAAAAACAATAATAGTGCAGTATGTATTTAACAGTGGAGTGCTATAGCAAAAACTCACTCACAATTTATAGAGCTACAAACAGCTCTGCTGTGTAGGGTGTAGACGGTACAATCTCAGTCACTGGATATATTTTCAGCTACAGTGGTGGTAGACTTTATTTGTGTCTCGAATATGTGAAGACAAAAATTGGAATATTCAGTAGTGCAATATGTATATCAAAGTGGTAGTGCATATATGAAAAGGTAGGTATCTTACTTACATGAACTAGGGCATAGACTCTAGAATAAAGCGCTTTAGTGGCATGATTCCCACCTGGGATATATGTTGATCAGGAAGCCAAAAAATTAAAAAATAAAATCCCCCCAAAATGTAAAATAGATTCAATTTATATTTAAAGATTAATTTTCTTATGATAAGCACAATTCTGATGAAACGCGTTAAGTGTGACAGTCTTCCATTTGGATTAATATATATGTTGTTTATCATAATAAAACGAATCCTTTTAAATATAAATGTAATCAATTTTTTAAAAAATTTTTGGTTTGGCTTCCTGACCAACATACATCCCAGGTGGGGATCATACCACCAAAGCGCTTTATACTAGAGCAGGTCTATGCTCTAGTTCATGTGAGTAAGATACCTACCTTTTCATATATGCACAACCACTTTGATATACATATTGCATTACTGGATATTCCAATTTTTGTCTTCACACAGATAAAGTCTACCACCACTGTTGCGGAAAATATATCCAGTGACAGGAATTGAACCATCTACACCCTACACAGCAGAGCTCTTTGTAGCTCTATAAATTGTGAGTGAGTTTTTGCTATAGCACTCTACTTCACTCTGTTAAAGATATACTGCACTAATATTGTCTCTCTTTTTCCTTTTTCTTTGAGATACCATGTACTGTATAACAGCCAAAGACTTCACAGACTTAACAAAAAAAGTGTATGTACATATGATTTACATTTGACTTCAGTTTTGTACATTACAGTGTCTTAAGGCACGATTATCTATTTTTTGTATTTGTCTTCTGGAATGTAAACACTACCTTTTCCCTTAAAAAACAAAACAAAAAAAAAACGTTTACTGCAAAAAGGCTGAAGGGAATGATTACACTCACCAGAACAAATACAATAAGCTGTAGGTGTTCTGGTGACTATAGGGTTTCTTTAAAAATTCCTTTTGCAAACATCATTACTGATATTAGCAGAAGGAAACCTTTAGGAATATGATTAATTGGGGATTAAGACAAGATTTAGAAGAAATATGTTTAGTATTCGTTTTATATTTAAAATGGGTTTATAATTAAAAGGACACTATAGGCACCCAGACCATTTCAGCTTATTAAAGTGGTCTGGGTGCAGTGTCCCTGGTACCTTAACCTTGCAAAGGTAATTATTGCAGTTTTTAAGAAACTGCAATAATTCTCTTTGAGGGTTAACTCCACCTCTAGTGGTAGTCTACCAGACAGCCACTATAGGGACTTCCGAATCGTTAGGCCAGGGCTTGACAAATTTGTATGGAATCTAGGAACCAGCTAAAAAAAGTTAGAAGTCAGTTTTTTTTAGAGGGACACTACAGTAACCAGAGGCGCGCGCACACACACATACAATGACAGGGGCACACGGTCGCCTAACACTATGCATGAGGATATTCAGCGTCACCCAAAACCGCACAGGAAAGCATTGTGTAATGCTTTCCTATGTCCAAATCCTAATGCTGTTAAGACTCAGAAAAACAAGCAGTCTGCTGACATGTGGTAGCCTGATCCAATCACAGTGCTTCCCCATAGGATTGGCTGAGACTGACAAAGAGGCAGATCAGGGGCAGAGCCAGCATGATTCAAACACATCCCTGGCCAATCAGCATCTCCTCAGAGATGAGCTGAATCAATGAACCTCTATGAGGAAAGTTCAGTGTCTGCATGCAGAGGGAGGAGATGCTGAATCACAGGATGCTGTGCACAGTGCTTCCCTGTGCTCTGCTGACAGCAGATCTGAGTGGATGGAGGCTTTTTATGCCTCCATCAACTCCGAAGTCCCCCTGGTTCACTCTGAGTGACTGCAACTGGAGGTGTTCCTAGCTTTCAATGTAAACACTGTATTTTCTCAGAAAATACAGTGTTTACATGAGAATGGCTGCAGGGAGCTATAGTACTCACCTGAACAACCTCATTAAGCTGAAGTTATTCAGGTGACTATAGTGTCCCTTTAACACTATAGTTTCCCTTTAATTTTAGGATTAGGTTCAGCAAGGAAATCTCTCTGCTGAAATCAACAGAGGGAATCCTAATACTATTTATAGGGGTAGGATTAAGATTAGGCATAGAATCAGGGTAAGGATTAAAGTTAGATTTATTAGAAGATTTAGTTTAGAATTTGGGACTGGTTTGGGAGTAAGGATTTAGACTGTGATTAAGACTAACTTTGCAAAGGTATATACATGCGGTATTCTTGTACTAAGGAGGTGCTGCAGAGTATAGGAATATTAATTACAATGGGACACGTGTGATTGAGAGAGGGGGAAAAAAAAAGTACAAAAAAATACAATGTTGTAAAAATTTAAACAAAGATACCACGACTTTAAAAAATAAATGGTTCCTCAAAGCTCAAAAAATATGAGACCCCATGGTGTCTACTTTTACAAATTGTATGCATTTATGGAGTACTTTAAATATGTAAGCTAATAAAATGCATCATAGACCCATCTTCAATGTCATTTAAAAAAAAATTAAAGGACGGGTTATAAATTTAGCTCTGTATTTTCTCAAAAACTTGACAAGGGAACTTGAAGGGCGTCAATCCATAATCAGGAGAGCGGAGCACAATCTAATAATCCAGTAGCACATATCACGTTTACAAAACAAACCACTAAATTGCATGTAAAAAAAAAAATAAACTAGAGAAAAATAAAACAATGCTAGAAACTTTGCAAGATATTAATGCTAAGATGGCTCCATGACATTTTGTGTTGTCTACTTTGACAAATGGTATGCATTTGAGTAAAGAGGGGTGCAGAGGGAGCTAAAGTGCTGGGAATACAGATTTGTACTACTAGCACTATAGCATCCCTTTAAACTCTGTGAAAGGCAAGGAAGCACCTCACCACACCACACACCAGCAAACAACCAATGGTCACAATTTGGCTACATGAACCTAAACTTTGCCATTACGTTACCAACTCAATACAATCCGAGAATCTATTCACTAAACCCCAAGTTGTAGTGAATTAAATACCCAAATTTAGGTTAAAATAACCAAGCATGTTAGCAGCGACAATTTTCCCCCAAGAACAGCTATTTAGGCCTACAGACAAGTCTCAAATCACCAGTGTAATAAATCACACTATATGCACATTAACACACCCCTCCCCCTACAGACTCTCACATTGCCATTGTAAATCCTCCATGTCACACAATGCCAAACTCTCCATATATGTAATTTAAAAAAATAATTAGATGGGGGGGGGAACCCCACAACCCAAACCTTCCAGCTTTCAAGCAATGATAATAAAAGCACAATAGGAACTATCTAGAGATCATTAAAATTAATCCACAAACCGGATATACCACATAAGACATCAATAAAGCTTCACCCCTTATATACAATAATGGCAGATGATCCCCTAATATACAGTAATGATAGATAACCCATTAATATATAGTAATGACAGATAACTCCATGATATACAATAATGGTAGATAAACGTCCATCAATAGAAAGAGTCTGGGGAGATTGGGCTACCCATACTATACAACAATGAAAGATATATATCCCCAGTAATACAGATCCCCCTCCTCCCAGGCCGTATTACATTGATACAGACAGAGGGAGATTGGGCACCCCCTAATATACAATAATGATAGATATAACCTCAGTAATAGAGCCCCCTCCCGCAGGCTGGCTACATTGACACAATCTGGGCGGGTGACTGAGCACCCCCTAATATACAATAATGATAGATATAACCTCAGTAATAGAGCCCCCCAGGCTGGGTTACATTGACACAGTCTGGGGATTGGGAACCCCTAATATACACAATGATAGATATAACCCCATAGAGCCCCTCCCCCAGGCTGGTTACACTGACAGAGTCTGGGGATTGGGAACCCCCTAATATACAATAATGATAGATATAACCCCAGTAATACAGAGCCCCCCTCCCCCAGACTGGGTTACACTGACACAGTCTGGGGGGGGGGGATTGGGAACCTCCTAATATACAATAATGATAGATATAACCTCAGTAATAGAGCCCCCTCCCCCAGGCTTGGCACCCCCTAATATACAATAATGATAGCTATAACCCCAGTAATACAGAGCCCCCCTCCCCCAGGCTGGGTTACACTGACACAGTCTGGGGGGGGGGGTGATTGGGAACCCCCTAATATACAATAATGATAGATATAACCCCAGTAATACACAGCCCCCCCTCCCCCAGGCTTGGCACCCCCTAATATACAATAATGATAGATATAACCCCAGTAATACACAGCCCCCTCCCCCAGGCTGGGTTACACTGACACAGTCTGTTGGGGGGGGCGGGGTGATTGGGAACCCCCTAATATACAATAATGATAGATATAACCCCAGTAATACACAGCCCCCTCCCCCAGGCTGGGTTACAGTAATACAGAAAAGGCTCCATGCTGACTGGGCCATAGCCTGGATACAAAGCCCCGGGCTCCCAGCCATGGTCCCCCCACACCCAGCTCGCGGCAAAGCACCCCGAGAGCCAGCCATGTCCAGGCCCCTCCCTCCCCCCTTCACGAAGTGCGCCATTGCGGCCTAGTCCCCGAGCCAGTATCAGCGCGCTCGCTCGCTCCCGCCGCCATGTTCGGCCGCCATCTTCCCCCCCCGTCCCCGACACGCCATGTTTTATCGGGCAGCCATACTGCCCAGCGAACATGGCGGCGCCCAGTCACACATCAAAACATGGCCTCCGTCTCACAACAAATCTCCCCCGTGCCGTGACAGAGCGGCTCCCCGGGGTTGGGGAGAGCGGGCTCGGTGCCGGGAGCGGCGGGACACGCCCTGGGAGGGGGCCCGGTGAGGTACTGACCTGAAGCCCACATGGTGACGGAGAACTCGCCCTCCAGGGTCTTGATCTGGACCTGTTTCTGCTCCCATTTCCTCCCGCTCGGCTCGGCCCCGCTCAGGTAGCTCTTCTTCCCGCTCTTTTTACCGCTGCCGCCTTTCTTCATCCTCCCTCCCGACGACGAGCTCTTGCCGGCCACCGTCACCAGGGTCTGCTCGATGTACTCGTCCTCCCCGGCCGGGGCCGGCACCGGGATCAGGATCTGGTCCTCGAAGCCGTCGTCGGTCCTGAGGTCCGAGTCGTCCCCGCCGACCACCTCCTCCCGGGTCTGGACCAGGATGACCTCCTGGTGGTGGTGGTGGTGGTGATGGTGGACGTGGCCCGGGTCGTCCGAGTCGAGCGGCTGCAGGGCGATCATGGGCTGGTGGTGGTGGTGGTGATGGTGGCTGTGGGGGTCGTCGTCGTCGTCATAGTCGTCGTCCCCGACCACCGTGGTCTCGATGGTCTCCACCGGGATGGACTCCACCTCTATCTCGTGCAGCTCCACGATCTCCGCCGGCATCTCGGAGCCGTCCGAGGCTATGTACAACGTATCGCCCGATGCCATCATCAGATCGCTGGCCGGCCGGCCGGTGCAGCCCCCCCTCCTCCTCCTTGTTATTAAATCCCCCCCCCGGTCCCTTCTTTCATAGATCTCGCTAGCTCTATTATTTATTTATTTATTTCCTCCGCCTTCTCAAGACAATTCCCAAACTCCAGCCAGCAAATCTCGTCGCCGCTGTCCGCTCCCGGCATCATCTCGCGAGACTTGCTGCGGCAGCAGGAGGCATTTCTAACGGCCGTGCTGGGAGGAGGAGGCGGCGGGCGGCGGGCGGCATTCTGACTAGGGGCAGAGGGAAGGAGTGGGCGGGGCCCGCACGTCGCGCCGGGTCACGTGACGCGGCCGGCTGGCTGGCGGGCATTTTGCCGAAGCCGACCGTTTGGAGAGCAAGCAGGGAGGATGGCTCCTCGGGGCTGGTGACAGCTGGCGGACCTACCGGGCAGTGATGGCGGCTGGGGAGGAGGGGGGAATGAAGCCTGGATAGATATATAGATTATAATGGCTGATCTGGGATTAGACTGGGGAAAACTGACAGATATATCTCAAGTTATGAGGTTTTTTTTTGTTTTTTATTATTTCTTTACATTTAGGGGTAAGGTAGCTCTCCAGATTTTGGGTTTTGTTTTTATTTTTTTTAAATCACAGCTTCCATGATGCTTTGTCATTGCCAAAGCAGGCTTCCTCAAACTCTGGCCCTCCAGATGTCGCTGAACTCCAACTCCCATGATTCTATGAATGAAATAGACAGGCTGAGAATCATGGGAGTTGTAGTTCAGCAACATCTGGAGGGCCGGAGTTTGGGGAAGCCTGTTCTAAAGGCATGCAAAGCATCTTGGGGGGAGTTCTACAACCTCTGGGGATCTACAGTTTAGGCACCCCTGCTCTAGACCTTTCGAGTATTTTATCTTGTTGAAGTGTTTTGTGTGTGACCACTGGGGTATTTTTTTTTTTTTTTTTATTCGTGTTAGAAAAAGTGGAGATTTCAATAGAAATGGACATGTTTAGAAATTAACCTTGTTACTCATGCGTTCAGCCTTTAAAGGACCACTCTAGGCACCCAGACCACTTCAGCTTAATGAAGTGGTCTGGGTGCCAGGTCCTTCTAGGGTTAACCCATTTTTTTTTATAAACATAGCAGTTTCAAAGAAACTGCTATGTTTATTAATGGGTTAAGCCTTCCCCCTAATCCTCTAGTGGCGGTCTCATTGACAGCCACTAGAGGCGCTTGCGTGCTTCTCATTGTGATTTTCACAGTGAGAGCACGCCAGCGTCCATAGGAAAGCATTGTAAATGCTTTCCTATGCGACCGGCTGAATGCGCGCGCAGCTCTTGCCACGCGTGCGCATTCAGCCGGCGGGGAGGAGCGAAGGAGGAGAGCTCTCCGCCCAGCGCTGGAAAAAGGTAAGTTTTAACCCCTTTCCAGAGCCGGGCGGGAGGGGGTCCCTGAGGGTGTGGGCACCCTCAGGGCACTATAGTGCCAGGAAAACAAGTATGTTTTCCTGGCACTATAGTGGTCCTTTAACGATACGCGAAAGAACATAGATATCTGTGTCTGATCAGGTTGTGAACATGTCAGTGCCTCTCAGCATATCTGTATTGTGCTCAGCGCTGGTGTGGCATCTTAAAAGGACACTGTAGTAGAGCTTAACAAATTAAAAGTTAGGAGCCAGTCATTTTCAACAAGAAAAAGGACACTATAGTCACCATTACCACTACATCTTGATATAGTTGTTCTGGTGTCTATAGCCTGTCCTTGCAGGCTTGTAGTGTAAATGCTGCCTTTTCTGCAAAAAGGCAGTGTTTTTACATTGCTGCTTAGACGGCCACTAGAGAGTCCTGGGTCAGTGTTGCACACACTTTCATGTGTCTCTGCATGGAGGCGCTGAATGTTCCTCGTAGAGATTCATTAATTTAATGCATCTCTGTGAGGAGATGGGGATTGATACATTTGCTGCGCATGCATAAAAGCATTGTCTTAACTGAGATCACAAATATTGATTATCTCAGCCATGGGGGTGGTACCAGACATGCCGAAACTGATACAGCGTGGGGAAGGTGAGTAAAACCATCTTCCTCATGCAATTGACGGGGCAGGGCTCACACACTCACATTTTTGTTTTAATTGAACCCTACTCAGCCTCACTACCTTTGGAAGAGCTGAGTGGGGCTGGTCTCTTCCTGCATGCGAAGGAGCAGTACTCTGCCTGTATCTGCTCCCTGCGCACTCTCTGTAATGATGCCGGGGCCGGATCTTCTTCCTTTTCCGGTTCCTGGCATCATTATACAGCAGACATAGTACTGCCCCTCGCACACTGCCTACAATGCTCCATCCTCCTCCAATATTCCCCGACTGGTGCCGTCAAAGCTCCCTCGGCAGCCACACTAACTAGAGAGCTTGCAAATCCCAGGCGCCAGGGTGTAATTTCTAGTCACCAGGGCGACATGGCACCTGGAATTTGTCGAGCCCCGCTCTATAGGACCCCAGACCTCTTCATCACATTGAATTGGTCTGAGTACATTGTCCTTGTTCCCCATGGTCCTGCAACGTAAAACTAAGTTTTAGAGAAATAAAATGTTTTTATATTGCAGTAAAGTTTTAGACTTTACAAAAACAGATTTTTATAAAATTAGAATATGGGTAGAGGAGTCATTATCAGACTGGAGCAATTTAAATGGAGTCCAAGAGAAATGGGATTATTTAAAAGTTGCACTATTGAAGGCAACAGAAAATTGCATTAGGCTTATCAGTAAAAGCCAAAAATTCAAGAAACCACTGTGGATGTGGCCAAAATAGTAAAAAAACAAAAAGTTAGCGTTTAGTAGTTTATAAAAAAAAAAAAACAGCGTGAGGAAGACAGAATGATCTATAAGATTAGGCAGAAAGAGGCTAAGCAAGTTATAAGAGCTTCCAAATCAAACACAGAGGAGAAAATAGCACAGTCCTTCAGTAGTGGGGAAAGTAATGGAAACCATGTTAAAGGATAGGATTGCTGAACATTTAAAAACACATGGATTTCAAGATCAGAGACAACGTGGGTTTACTTCAGGGAGACCATGGCGAACTAATCTTATTTATTTTTTTGATTGGGTAACTAAAATAATCATGGTGGCGCAGTAGACATTGCTTACCTATATTTCAGTAAGGCTTTTGACACTTGCACGTAGAATGCTTATCAATAAATTGCAATCTTTAAGTTTGGATTCTAATATTGTTGAATGGGTAAGGCAGTGGCTGAGTGACAAGCAACAGAGAGTTGTAGTCAATGGAGTATATTCGAAGCATGGGCTTGTCACCAGTGGGGTACATCAGGGATCTGTACTTGGACCCATTCTCTTTAATATTTTTATTAGTGATATTGCAGAAGGTCTTGATGGTAAGGTATGTCTTTTTGCTGATGATACTAAGATATGTAACAGGGTTGATGTTCCAGGAGGGTTAAGCTAAATGGCAAATGATTTAGGTAAACTAGAAAAATGGTCAGAGTTGTGGCAACTGACATTTAATGTAGATAAGTGCAAGATAATGTATCTTGGACGTAAAAACCCAAGGGCAGAGTACAGAATATTTGATAGAGTTCTAACCTCAACATCTGAGGAAAGGGATTAAGGGGTAATTATTTCAGATGACTTAAAGGTAGGCAGACATTGTAATAGAGCAGCAGGAAATGCTAGCATAATGCTTGGTTGTATAGGGAGAGGTATTCACAGTAGAAAAAGGGAGGTGCTCATGCCAATGTACAGAACACTGGTGAGACCTCACCTGGAGTCTTGTACGCAGTAGTGGAGACGATATCTCCAGAAGGATATTGATACTTTAGAGTGTTCAGAGAAGGGCTACTAAACTGGTTCATGGATTGCAGGAAAAAAACTTACAAGGAAAGGTTAAAGGAACTTAACATGTATAGCTTCGAGGAAAGACGAGACGGGGGGATATGAGAAACATTTAAATACATAAAGGGAATCAACACAGTAAAGGAGGAAGACTATATTTAAAAGAATAAAAACTACCACAACAAGAGGACATTGTCTTAAATTAGAAGGGCAAAGGTTTAAAAATAATATCCGTAAGTACAGGGAGTGCAGAATTATTAGGCAAGTTGTATTTTTGAGGATTAATTTTATTATTGAACAACAACCATGTTCTCAATGAACCCAAAAAACTCATTAATATCAAAGCTGAATATTTTTGGAAGTAGTTTTTAGTTTGTTTTTAGTTATAGCTATGTTAGGGGGATATCTGTGTGTGCAGGTGACTATTACTGTGCATAATTATTAGGCAACTTAACAAAAAACAAATATATACCCATTTCAATTATTTATTATTACCAGTGAAACCAATATAACATCTCAACATTCACAAATATACATTTCTGACATTCAAAACAAAAACAAATCAGTGACCAATATAGCCACCTTTCTTTGCAAGGACACTCAAAAGCCTGCCATCCATGGATTCTGTCAGTGTTTTGATCTGTTCACCATCAACATTGCGTGCAGCAGCAACCACAGCCTCCCAGACACTGTTCAGAGAGGTGTACTGTTTTCCCTCCTTGTAAATCTCACATTTGATGATGGACCACAGGTTCTCAATGGGGTTCAGATCAGGTGAACAAGGAGGCCATGTCATTAGATTTCCTTCTTTTATACCCTTTCTTGCCAGCCACGCTGTGGAGTACTTGGACGCGTGTGATGGAGCATTGTCCTGCATGAAAATCATGTTTTTCTTGAAGGATGCAGACTTCTTCCTGTACCACTGCTTGAAGAAGGTGTCTTCCAGGAGCTGGCAGTAGGACTGGGAGTTGAGCCTTGACTCCATCCTCAACCCGAAAAGGCCCCACAAGCTCATCTTTGATGATACCAGCCCAAACCAGTACTCCACCTTGCTGGCGTCTGAGTCGGACTGGAGCTCTCTGCCCTTTACCAATCCAGCCACGGGCCCATCCATCTGGCCCATCAACACTCACTCTCATTTCATCAGTCCATAAAACCTTAGAAAAATCAGTCTTGAGATATTTCTTGGCCCAGTCTTGACGTTTCAGCTTGTGTGTCTTGTTCAGTGGTGGTCGTCTTTCATCCTTTCTTACCTTGGCCATGTCTCTGAGTATTGCACACCTTGTGCTTTTGGGCACTCCAGTGATGTTGCAGCTCTGAAATATGGCCAAACTGGTGGCATCGTGGCAGCTGCACGCTTGACTTTTCTCAGTTCATGGGCAGTTATTTTGCGCCTTGGTTTTTCCACACGCTTCTTGCGACCCTGTTGACTATTTTGAATGAAACGCTTGATTGTTCGATGATCACGCTTCAGAAGCTTTGCAATTTTAAGAGTGCTGCATCCCTCTGCAAGATATCTCACTATTTTTGACTTTTCTGAGCCTGTCAAGTCCTTCTTTTGACCCATTTTGCCAAAGGAAAGGAAGTTGCCTAATAATTATGCACACCTGATATAGGGTGTTGATGTCATTAGACCACACCCCTTCTCATTACAGAGATGCACATCACCTAATATGCTTAATTGGTAGTAGGCTTTCGAGCCTATACAGCTTGGAGTAAGACAACATGCATAAAGAGGATGATGTGGTCAAAATACTCATTTGCCTAATAATTCTGCACTCCCTGTATTACTTTACTGAGAGGGTAGTGGATGAATGGAATAGCTTTCCAGCTGAAGTGGTAGAGGTTAACACACTAAAGGAGTTTAAGCATACGTGGGATAGGCATAAGACTATCCTAACTATAAGATTAGGCCAGGGACTAATGAAAGTATTTTTTAAAAAATTAGGCAGACTAGATGGGCCGAATGGTTCATATCTGCCGTCACATTCTATGTTACTGAAACTTTCTCTAGTGGATATCTACCAGACAGCCACTAGAGGTACATCCTGGATTTTTAAAGAGGTTTGACTCTGTGAAATGATACTGGACATCCTCACACTCTGCTTGGGGACATCCAGTATCAGAAAAAACACATAGGAAAGCATTAAGGTAATACACATGTGCCTTAGGGTGAGTGAATAAACACTTTATTTGACCCTTCACATCATTGAGGGGAGAGAAGTGGGTTCCATGGGGTCTGAGGAACACATTGTTAAGAATACATCTTTCCTTCCCAGCATGAAAGTATTCCTTTATTCTCCAGCCGTGCTAAAAATGGATACTTTTCATTGTACTGATGTGGGTAGCCCGGTCATTCTCCACATTTTAGATCTAATGCGGTTGACGACCACACATAAATAACAAGAGAAGGGCTATTCAGGAAAGTAATTCCTACTAGTTAAGGGCAGCAAGAAATCAATATCCTTATGCTGCCCTAAGATTCACAGGACACTCCAAATTAAACTAGTTTTATGTTTACCCCAATAAAAACTTGCACGTGTTTTTTTGTTTTTTTTCTCGTTGGGGGGATATCTAAAAGCTGCAGAACTCTTTGCAAGCTCTTCTTATGTAACTCAGCCCATAATTTCTGTGACTGTACAATCACATACTTTCCAATGCAGCTCCATGAAAAGTCTTTGCAGGGCAGGTGCTCTGAACAATTGCGGCCTCTTGTGTTTAGCTCCACTGAGCTTACTAAACCAGGAAGTAAATTGACCAGATGTCTGTTGGACAGCCATGTGACGTAATAAAGTTAAAGGGTTACTATAACCCTTTTCTCTACAAGGTGTTTTAGTTTTATGAGGACCTGTTAATCCTGTCCTCTTATTTAATTAAAAAAACCAAAAACGGTTAGATCGATATTTAGCTTGGTATTGGGCAGCCCGGAACAGACTTGCCTATGTAACGTGTGCTAGGGGTGTAAGTCCATATTTCCCTGTATGTTCAGCATTTCAAGTAGAAACACTGCACATGCAGACTCGTACCACAACTTTATTTATATTTGAAGGACCACTATAGGCACCCAGACCACTTCAGCTTAATGAAGTGGTCTGGGTGCCAGGTCCAGCTAGGATTAACCCTTTCTTCTATAAACATATCAGTTTCAGAGAAACTGCTATGTTTACATATGGGTTAATCCAGCCTCTAGTGGCTGTCTCATTGACAGGCGCTTCCACGCTTCTCGCTGTGAAAATCACAGTGAGAAGACGCCAGCGTCCATAGGAAAACGTTAAGAATGCTTTCCTATGGACTGGCTCAATGCGCATGTGTATTCAGCCAATGACGACAAGGAGGAGAGTCCCCCGCCCGGCGCTGGAAAAAGAGGTAAATTTAACCCCTGGAGCCGGGCGGAAGGGGGGCCTTGAGGGTGAGGGCACAAGTATGGTTTCCTGGCACTATAGTGGTCCTTTAAAGTATTTTATCAGGAAGAATACATTGAGGTTTGTTTCATTTTTCAAGTATGTCCCGGACCCACAAACATTGCATTGTTACAATAGGGAGATTTCTTAAGCGATTCTAGACTGGAGGAAGATTTGATTTTGTCCGTAAGGTATTCCACAATTGCGGTTCTCTGTAGGATAGTGAGGATCGAAACACTTTCTTTTTTGTGGTACACCAATTACTGTGCTGGTAAGAGCATTCTACTCTTGGTGGTTGATTGCTTCCCAGAAAATCTCTTAACCCCTTAAGGACCAAACTTCTGGAATAAAAGGGAATCATGACATGTCACACATGTCATGTGTCCTTAAGGGGTTAAACACAAGGCTGGAAAAATGAAGGGTGCAATATTCCAGTGGTTAGCTCTCTTGACATGTCACAATGGTGGGTAATGTAATTAAATTGTAGCACAAAATAGGTTACACAATGTAGTAAGTTTATGAAGATGGGTATGCAGCTAAGGTGCATACACTACATCCCCATATTCAATAACTGGATATAGCAGTTGTAGTTTCCTTACTGTGGGTTTTAGGCAGGATTTGTTTCTGTTTAGGCACCTACTTTTGGATAAAGTTTTGATGGGTTTTTCAATGTGGAGTCCAAAGGATAGAGTGGGGTCTAGCAACATACAGTTGTGCTCAAAAGTTTGCATACCCTGGCAGAAATTGTGACATGTTGGCATGAAAATATGATTAATTATGCACAAAATTTATTTTTATTGAAGGATAGTGGTCATATGAAGTCATTTATTATCACATGGTTGTTTTGGATCCTTGTTAAATCATCATAACAGGAATCACCCAAATGGCCATGATCAAAAGTTTAAATACAGATACACAAGGTGACACACACAGGTTAAAACGGCAATTAAAGGTTAATTTCTCAATTTTTAAATTGCAATTAGTGTCCGTGTATAAATAGTCTCTCACATGGATGCACTGAGCAGGCTAGATACTAAGCCATTGGGAGCAGAAATTAACTGTCAAAAGACCTATGTAACCAGATAATGGAACTTTATAAATCCAAAGCACAGAAAATGCCTGGGGATCTCTTGAAACCAAGCCAAGGTCAGGTAGACCAAGAAAGATTTCAGCCACAACTTCCAGAAGAATTGTTAGGGATACAAAGAAAAACCAACAGCTAATCTCAGGAGAAATACTGCCTGCTCTGGAAAAAGATGGTGTGGTTGTTTTAAGGAGAACAATAAGGCAATACATGAACAAAAATGAGCTGTGTGGTTAAGTTGCCAGAAAGAAGTCTTTACTGCGCCAATGCCACAAAAAAACCTGGTTACAATATGCCCGACAACACCTTGACACGCTTCTGGCACACTGTAATTTGAAGTGACAACCAAAATAGATCTTTATGGTCACAACGATAAGCGCTATGTTTTGGAGAGGGGTCAACCAGGCCTATAGTGAAAAGCAGGGCTTGGCAAATTTTGTTTGTAATCTAGGAGCCAGCTAAAAAAAAATGTTATGAGCTAGTCATTTTCAACGAGAAAATGCAATTCTTAAAGGGACACTGTAGTCCCCAGAACCACTACAGCTTGATGTAGTTGTTCTGGTGTCTATTGTAACAATTAACCCAATACGTAGAGTAAAAACCACCAGTAGAATTAGAGACAGAAAGAAAGTCCTTAATCCAGTTCTTAGAATGGCCAGATAAAAGCGATAACTACAAGAAATGTCAGAAACAAGCCATGGTCAAGGGAAGCCAGAAATACACAATAACGAGGAGCGAAGCCGAGTCAGGGAAACCAGAAGTCAGAATACTCGAACAAGCTGGGTCAAAACCAAAGAACTATCACAAAAGGTTCAATCTGTATAGTAAGAAGAGAAATAATTCCACTCACAAGATCAGAGTCATACCGTCATATGACTAAATGTATCCTTCTTTGGACCATTAAAGGGTTGTCCAGACCCTTTCGTTCCCGGATTCTCTGTGTTCCCCCTTGTATTTCTTTAACAGGGTCTTCCCAAAAGAAATGTTGAATTCTCCACTTGTCCTTTTTTAAAAAGTGTTTTTATTCCAGTAAAAAATATATATCACATATACCAGAAACAACTGGTTGTAAATGACAATAAAAATCTGTTAAAATTAATGTCCAATAAAATGTCCAATTGATACTGAAGTCCAATATGCATTTCGCCTGTGAAATAGGCTTCCTCAGTTGGCTATAGGAGTACAATCTTCTTTACCTCCTTTTAAATATTCCACCCGGTCTTTTCTTTTTCCAATCCGGAGGTCACTTCCGGGTTCTCGTGCGTCGGAACGCAACGTGCGTTCCAACGCCGGCTTCTATTTCTGGGTTTCGCCAGGATGGAATGCACGTGTGTTCCAGCTGTATCAAGCGCTGCCGGCTCTGTTGTCTACTTCCTGGTTGCGCCTAAATGGAACGCACATGCGTTCCAAAGTTCTCTTTATGCCGGCTACCGTCTGGGTTTGCCGGAAAATCGCTAAATAGAACGTATATGTAGTCTACATATTCTCCTCTCTAATAGTTTACACAGAGGCCAAAAAGCAAAAATAATTAAGACATATAAAAAAACATTTTGGTTACTAAACAAGGAATTAAAAGATAGCCCATAAAAAACATATTGTGTAGCATTAAAATTCGTGCTGTAAAAAGAAGGTGCTACTATATTTAGCAAGTGTAAAAAGTAGAGTAAAATCAATTACAGTCCCCTTTCTATATAGTGTAAGATTAATCCATATAAACTTTGGTGTATAGATATAAAAACTAGTTCATAAAATTATATAATTCAAAATCATTGTTTAGACCGTTTGGTGTCATAGTATTAAAATCAAATATAAATTTCATCTCTTCTTTCCCTATCTTGTTTATGTAATCACCTCCTCTCCGATCTTTTTTTACTTGTTTTATTGCGCAAAAAAAAAATTCCTTCTGGGTTGTGATTATGTACTTTTTAACCCCTTAAGGACGGAGCCAAATGTACACGTTGTGAACAAAACAAAATGTAAACAAAACCTGGCATTTGCGCTACATGTCTGTCCAACTGTAATACACCTCTTTCATAGTAAATGCACCCACCCTTATTATATATCATTTTATTCAGGGGAAACAGGGCTTTCATTTAATATCAAATATTTAGCTATGAAACATAATTTAATATGAAAAGAATGGGATAAAATAAGAATTTTTTAATTTTTTTTTTTAGTTCTACATGACATTTTAACTGTCAATGTCATAATACTGTTTGCTTTTACTGCAATAAAATACACATATTTGTATTCAGCAAAGTCTCACGTGTAAAACAGTACCCCCTATGTACAGGTTTTATGGCGTTTTGGGAAGTTACAGGGTCAAATATAGCACGTTACATTTGAAATTGAAATTCGCCAGATGGTTACGTTGCCTTTGGGACTTTATAGTAGCCAGGAATTAAATTTACACCCATAATGGCATACCATTTGCAATAGTAGACAACCCAAGGTATTGCAAATGGGGTATGTCCAGTCTTTTTTAGTAGCCATTTAGTCACAAACACTGGCCAAAGTTAGCGTTAGTATTTGTTTGTGTGTGAAAAATGCACAAAACGCCAATTTTGGCCAGTGTTTGTGACTAAGTGGCTACTAAAAAAGACTGGACATACCCCTTTGCAATACCTTGGGTTGTCTACTATTGCAAATGGTATGCCATCATAGGGTAATTTTCATTCTTGGGCTACCATAGGGTCTCAAAGGCAACGTAACCAATCTGGCGAATTGTAATGTGAAAAAAATGAAACGCAAGCCTTATATTTGACGCTGTAACTTTTGAAAACACCATAAAACCTGTACATGAGGGGTACTGTTGTACTCGGGAGACTTCGCTGAACACAAATATTTGTGTTTCAAAACAGCAAAAAGTATCACAGCAATAATATCGTCTGTGTAAGTGCTGTTTGTGCATGAAAAATGCAAAAAACTTCACTTTTACTGGCGATATCATCGTTGTAATACATTTTACTGTTTTTAAACACTAATATTTGTGTTCAGCGAAGT